TCGTGTGCAATAAACCTGCAGTGTGTAATATTAACGCTTATTTGCAATGGTACCGTGGCATAGTTACTTTTATGTAAAAATCTGTTTATAAATGTTCCCAAACTTTTTTTAAGGTTGAAATACTTTAATAGGTTATTTATGTCACTTAGTTTGACATACTTTGCTGATACTCTGATTTTATTACTTTTATTATCTTTTTTATTACTGTATGCCTTTATTACCTGCTATGCCACTTTTGCTGTAACACTGTTCTTATTCTGAAATAAAATGTCATTCCTAGAGCTCCCACTGCAACCAAACATCCGAATGAGGACGAGAAATTAGAGCACTGTCGGACTGATTAGTTCAACTTCACCTCATCCTTATAAACACAATGTATTGTAGACGCTCATCGCCCAGCAACCACTCTGTATCTGCAACCCCCCCCCATCTCCCACCCTACTTTACAAGGGTTATTTGTGTGTGTGTGTCTGAGAAGCCACGCACGTGCACAGCAAACCATTTAATCTAGAGCACAGAGCGATGTTTTGTGGGATTATCATATCATTAGTCGTGCCTCTGATGGAGTTGTGTGTGTATTTGTGTGTTGGAGGGCTGACATCACAGCAAGCAGAGGGCACCCTTTTGATGTAATCCAATTTTCCATTTCCACTCCACACACACACACACAACGTGGCACCCCTTTCGGATGAGCAGGGCCTCTTTGAATGAGTAACAACTGACATTCGTGCTTTTAAGTAGGCCAACATATTCACTCATGTGTGCAAAACCTATATATTCTTATCAGTGTGTAGAGGACTGCCTTATCTTCAAACTGAAACCCCTTCATTTCACAGTCAATCCTTCTGTTTCCAGCATTCGTAAATCAATTAGGTTTTGCCATTTCTGCTACAAAATCATACTCCATCGAGGAGTGTACAATAACAACGGGTTAACTCGATAAACTGGTGCGCAAATAATTGGGAGACAAACTGAAGCCAAAGCAAATAAATGTGATATTTGCTCCGCGGCCTCCATAAGAGGGAAAACAAACATAACCTCTCCCTTATCCAAATCTATGGCATAAAGATGGAAAGCTTCATACGTTGCAGAGAGTCAAGCCCTTTGGCAAACATGACGAACAACTTGTAGATGGCAAGATACGGGACCTCCACAAATACAGAGCTGTGAAACACCTCAGCCGATCAGTCTAAGCTAACGTTTGCTAAGACTATACACAACATAGCACTGTATCATTTTGCCTGACGTAGTAAGTCATTTAAAGTCTATTTCCTAGCAAATATACTCTCTCCAGGAAAGGTCAAATTAGGTGTCGGTTATGACATTAATTGTTCCATGATATATTGAGGGGCACTGTTAATGTTATTAATTACACCGTTATTCTTGCTGCACCCTTTTACCCAACCCTGCGTCTTGTGGGCAACAAAATCTCCAGTAAAGGGGAATGGGATTGGGATTTCTACTGACCCTTTCTGAAAGTAATTCTCCTTGTATTCCTCTTAGACCCGAGGGACTGGGCACTTCCACAAGAACTTCACTAACAAAATCTTCCTGAGCAGTAACCATCATCTCCTGGGAGAGGCGAAATTCCTCGGCCGGCTCGCGTAACACTGGAAGCAGGGGCGGCGGGTACTGTAGGCTAGGGAAGGCTAAGCCTTCCCAAATATTTCTGTCACAGCGTCCTGATAAAATAAAAATATAATGTATAATGTTTGTGTCTTTGACATTAGCGCTGCTATGCAACCACCTGTGCCCTGTAGGCCTACTACGAAGCCAGTTCAACATATCCTGGATATGCTTGAGTTATCTTAACTAACCCTAACAAACGAGATCTCGCTAAGCGGTCATACGACGCTGGTTAATATCAACTCGGTAAATCAAGCCAGGGTTTCTCTCACCAGCTGAGAGCGCGTTCACGTGAAAGGGGTGGGGTTAGAAACATTTGACCAATCACAAACAGGGACAAGTGTACTGACAGCGCAGCATCATTAATGAAAAGTAAACTAATATTAGACAAATATGAACTTTAAACATCCATGACTTAAACATATAATCCAGGATACAAGCCACATAGCTGCACCTGCAAGGTGAATATAGAACAACTAGTTAAAAAATAAATAAACTACTGAGTGTTTGAAAGCGTAACAGTTTTATGATATCATTCCCCCATCTAAGACACGAGTGGATCTGACTTTAATTACATTTGAGTTGAGTGTTTCGTCAACCCAATGTGTTGCATACTGCTGCATACAGTAGGCTATGTGACACTGTAAGTGTTGCACGGTCAGATACGGCTCGAGAAGCTGACTCAGATAAGGACATATGATATATTATATGATCTGATTGATGATGTGATATGAATGATAAGTGCAACACGTCGGCGTCTTCTCTACGGCAGTTTAAACTGCATTTCCTTTATCCTGTAATATGACTTGATAGATTTAAACTCCGCACACTGAGCTCTGATTGGTCAGCAGGCGGTGCTTTCACTGAGTTGATCTCTTTTCTATAGACGCCAGAGGCGGGCAGCGTCAGGTAAAAAAAGTTATTTAGCCTTCCCAAACCTGAGCCTCACGCGCCGCCTATGACTGGAAGGGTCGGACACGGCTCCTGGATGATACTCTGCTCCACACTACTCAGTCTTTATAATGGTATGAGGGCCCTGACATACCTCAAAGGAGCACCTAGACAAAAGCGTGCTTTGTAATGCCTTGTGTGTTATGTTAAGAGATGAACACACAGCAGAGGCTCCAGCTGACTGCCAGCAGATTGATTATGGGCTTGCATGAGAGGACATAACTAGACAGTAGACAACATGAAGTCCACTGTGTTTGCGTCACTGGAAATCTAGATTAATAGAATGACAGGATAGAACAAATCCTGTCAGAAAACCAGTACTTCAGCTCTATTGTCCTCACCAGTAACCAGCTCCCACTATACAAGAAAAACAGATGACTGAAATATCTGGTTGGAGCTTTGCTGGACAATATTCTTAGTAACAAGGTTTATTAGTCCTGCCTAGTGCCTATACACCAGTTTGAGACAGTAGAAAAGAGACATAAATAGTTGGGAATAGAATGGAAAAAATGGGATAAAGAGACAAGTACGAACACTGGTTTCTTCCTCACCAATGCACTGCTAAAGTAGGCATGAAGACAGATCAACGCTTTTGGAAAGTTAGAGAACTGGAAACAGGAGTATACTGGCTCCTTCACAAACTAATAAATGGCAACTTGTACATTGATTAAATCAGAATTGAGAATACATAAAGAGGACTTTCCAAAGGCATAATGATTACGGAGCATACCAACCGAATGACTGGGTATATATATGAGGAAGCTTTTTAATATGTGATGGATGTGGAGCTAGCTGACGGACAATGACAGCCTGCTCGGTGCTCAAAGGTAAAGACAGAGCTGCCTTCTCCTGTGTCAGTCCCTCCCCCATAGGGCTGAAGCACAGTGAGTGAGTGAGGCATTACTGGGAAATGAAGCCCTTACTGGAAAACTGCGCTCACCTATTTACTGGCAAAGGATTGGGAGTTGGGGGGAAGGGGGGGGGCCGGACAGGAAGTTAATTGAAAATGTGACCTGGGGTTTTGTGACTGGGCACTTTATGTTTGGAAACGTCAGACAGATTTAGTTTTTCTTTACATCTCTGCATTTTGAGAACTTTTTAATGGACTCTTTTACAACTCTGGACATGGCTGCATTGCTTTTCTTAAACAAGTCCTAGCAACTATATCAAAGAATTAGGAAGCCATTTACTTTTCTCACAGTTGAGCGGAGTAGAACAAATATATATATATTTGCATTTGCAGGGAATCAAAACGTGTATAACAGGTTGTTAGCAGTGCGACAGAGGACTTTATTACTAGTCCAACCTCTCTCAATTTTCCCATTTTGTACCACTGGAAGAATTATGAGGCTTTAATTGCAGTCGCCAGCATTATTTTCAAGGTTCAGTTTCAGTTTGTGTGTGACGTGCTACTGTAATCTGAAAGATACATGTGTAGTCTGATGATTGGTTATGTGGGAAAGTTAGCAGTGCTTTAACTCTTGCAAAAGTGCTACAAAATGTAATGCATCTAATCATTTAGGTGCAAATATACCGAGTGATTACATTTGCTGACTTACCTGACTGAGGATAACAGACATTTTTGCTAATTTTAGATACAATTATTTATTGTCCCTGCGCTTGTTGGAAGGAGAAACTCCTTGAGCTGCTCAACAGTAAACAGAAGTGGATCAAAAATGAAATTCCAAGACCCCCTACCAATGCTATTTGTTATTCTTCCTGACCATATGACTAAACCAAGAAAAAGATGGTTTCCTGTTTTACAGGCCTTTGTAGTTACTTTACCCAGATCACACAGTAAAAAAAAAAGAAAGCCCTTTGGGCCCCGAGTTGCAACTTGTCTTTCCCATTATCAGAGAAAACCTAGATCTCCATAATGTGTCCATGGATAGGACTTCTAACAGTCATAGAAACATGTGTGCCGTTACTACAAGGGCCTCTCTCCGCCCTGAATGGATGGTGTGGTACAGATTAACCAGACTCTGCATGTGTCTATGCTTATAGTGTGTGTGTGTGTGTGTGTGTGTGTGTGTGTGTGTGTGTGTGTGTGTGTGTGTGTGTGTGTGTGTGTGTGTGTGTGTGCGTGTGTGTGTGTGTGCAGGGTCAGTGTGTGTTTGTGTGTGTGTAAATCCAGCTCAGCACACGTGCCTGTTCGTCTCTAGGGAACTAGGTGAAGAGCCACTCAGCTCCCTTTGAACCCAAGGCCATATGGCCCCCAGTATGGTTCTATAATACACACATAAAGCTATTACACTATAGGAGCATATGTTGACAGAATATGTAATTACACATTCAACAAGGACAATGCTAAATGTGTCAAAAATAGATCAGAAAAGATGAGTATTTCTGAGCAAATATTTCTCATTGGTTTGTCAGGAGTGTTTTGCACATGAATGGACATCCAGAGTTTTATCCCCACTCACCTCATTGTCGTGGTGCTGGCAGAAGCTCATGTGGTCCTGGAAGAGGGACAGCAGGGCAAAGTTGTTCTGCAGGGACTGGGCGAGGGACTGCTGCCCCGAGTTGCTGTTGACGTTGAGGCGGCTCAGGTGGAGGTTCTCCCCCAGGCGCTCGATGAAGTGGTCCTTGGTCAGCCTCACCCTCTGGTGCGCCCGCACACAGTTGTCACACAGGTACTCCTGGCAGTCCAGGCAGTGGGAGGTGGCCGGGTTCTCCTCGTCACAGGAGCTGCACCCAGGCTCTCCCAGGTGGTTGGGGTGCAGCAGGCCTCCATGGGGGTGATGGAAACCCGAGGAGCCTCCACCCAAGCCTCCTCTGAGGTGGTTGTGGTGGCCGTTCTTGTTCTGGATCTGCTCCTCGGAGCTCACCACCACGTCCAGCAGGTTGCTGAACAGGAAGTTTGAGGAAGGCAGGGAGTCCACCCCGGCCTCTGAGATGCACACCTTCTGGTCGCAGGTGGGGCACCGCAGCTTCAGGGGCTCCCCAGGACTCCGCTGGCCCTCTAGGCACTGCCTGCAGAAGGCATGGAGGCAGGGCAGGACGTGGAGCCTCCTGGTGGTCTGGCAGGAAGATGAGGAGGTATGTGAGGAAGATGAAGAGGTAGAAGAGCTGGAGGAAATGGGAGCAGAGGACCCGCACAGCTCCTTGCAGAGCGGGCAGGTCTGCAGGTCCGAGTCTGGAAACGAAGCCATCTGCAGCATTTACCCAAACCCAGGTTTACAACATGCGCAATCTGAGGTATTTATCTGGAGTCACATCAGCCAGTTGTGAGGTGTAGCGAAAAAACGTGTATTTGAGGTAGATTCATGAGGTATCAAAGTCAGTTCAACAGTGGAAACGGTGCTCATGGACTTACAGATTTGTCTCTGTATTATAACTCTGACCTGATGCGGAACAAGGAGGTAGGCAGTTCTCCGAAGATGAGGCAACAAAAACAAAACACTTTTTTAGGCGTTTATGATCATTCACTTGTGTAAGGCGAGGGTGAAGCATCCGCGTCCCTCTTTTCAAATAATCTTACAATGGTCGAGAAAAAGTGTTTAGGCTCATAAAATAAACCCGAAACTGGAGTGACACTGGATCGGCGTCGAAAAACCGGAGGCTCCGTCTCTCCTGCCCATGACTGCGGGGCTCCAACAGCACCAAGGCGAGAGTAACAAGGATTTAAATGGGTCTTTCCTCTTCTCCAATTAAGGCCCGTGTTGTGGTTGTGTTTTCCTCCTCTCTAGTCCACCATCGGGGCCCTGGAAGGCGGCGTCGGGCGCAGCCACCGGTCAGTCTACTCGGAACGCAAGACCGTACTCGTATTCATCAGAGCAACCATCCCATGGTGCACCTTGGGTCTCCAAAACAACAAACGCATGGAGTCTCCAGTAAAGCCCAAACATCAGAGGTGTGTTTCACCAGCCTCCGGGGGTGAATGCACCGGTCCGGGGTTGTGAAGAGGAACGCTAGCAGCTCTCCGTTGGCCGGGCTGGTTCTCTGGCTCTCTGCGTGCAGGAATGCGCACTTGCAGCGTGGAAAACGGTGCCGAAAAAGTCGGTCCCGACGGCCGTACGGAGAGGATTCGCGTCCCGTACTGCGTTGTTGTTGCCGTTGTTTACTCCCGGTTGGTTAAGGATTAACATAAACATAAGGTGTGTGCGCTCTCGTGGCTGCCGTGGTGCTCGAGCTGCAACTCCAGGAGCCACTCTTATCCGATTGAGAAAAAATGGACCCACTTCCGCCCAAGGGAGGAGAGAGGGGTGTGCGTCAAATGCGCGTTCCCGGCGGTGACGGGAGTTTTAGCGCGTCCGTGCGTGCGAGCAATGCTCACTGGCGTCAGTAGTGGCAGGTAATGTAGTACATTTACTTAGGTACAATGTTGAAGTACTTTCACTTTAACTGAGTGTTTTCATTTTATGCTACTTTATTACTTTTACTCCAATACATTTATTTTACAGATTTATTTACTAGTTACTTTATACATTTTGATTTTAGGAAATACTTTTCAAATATGATTAATTGGTATGGATTAAACCATCCAACATTGTTTAAGTACTAAAACCCAGTGGTATAAAGTAAATAGTTAGATTTACTCCAATGAGAACAAAGTACAATTTTGAGGTATCCTACTTGTATACTTTGTACTTTTACTCCACTACATGTATTTAATACCTTTAGTTACTTTACAGATTTGGATTAATGATGTGAAATATAATCAACCTTTAAATCAGACTTTAGTTCCACCTGGAGTAAATTCACAAGCTACCCCGCAGTATACAAAGTCATTCAAACTAGCTGCACCTTTACCAGCTTTGAGTACACTTTCATGATCAATAATTATAAAACATATCATATATATTATTCTGAAATGGACCAATCTGCAGAATGAGTATTTTTACTTTTGGTACTTTAAGTATATTTTGATGCATATACTTCTGTACTTTTACTTGAGTAACATTTTGATTGCAGGACTTGTACTTGTAACAGAGTATTCCTCCACTCTGGTACTTTACTTTTACCCAAGTACAAGATCTGAGTACTTCTACCACCTCTAGCTACCATAAACTCGACTACATGTATCCATCTTTAGTTTCAAGTTACTTCACAGATTCAGATTATATATATATATATAATTCAACTAATAAGCGGGAGTTTTAATTGTAGTATTTTTCCATTTCATTATTGCTTAATTTATTCTAGTATAAATCTGAGTATTCTTCCAACACTGGTTGTAGTCTGTCCTTATGAATGACAGGATGTGCACACCTGAAGGAAAAAATAACTGTTACAATATAATTCAATATTGCTACTTTTACTTAAAACTTAGGAGTACTTCTTCCCCCACTGAGCAAAATGTCCTGCATCTTTAGATGTATCATCCAGCCATCTCTCATCTTGCTGCGTTGCATTTGATTTGGCAACAAGTCAATATGAAAATGTTGAGAAACGTGATGCAGAAAGTCAAAGGCAGAGAGGGGTTAGGTTATTATATAACAGAGATCATATGAGGCACTTAAAAAACCTAATTTGACATGGGTCACAAATGTTACTCAATTTTTTTCTCTGGGGTTAAAGGTGTGACTCAAACAAAAAAAGGCTGAGATGGTGAGTTGATTTACAGCAAACTCCAAGTAGGTTAAAGGATGAACCTTTTGGAAACATGCCAGAGGTTATGTTAACACGTCAAAGAGGGAATAACACAGAGCTGTGTGTTTCTGCAGAGGCACATGACGCTGGCTGCAGAATCCAGTGTTACTATTCTCCATGTGAAGAAGAATTGGCTGTTCTTTCATATTTTCATGAAGATCAGATGTGGTTACCGGGACTTGAGGCGGGGGGGAACAAGATTCATAAAGCACTGCTCCGAGCAACAACAACAAATCACACAAACAGTCCTGTGTTGGGACTAACTATCGCTGGATGACTCCCAAATGTGTATTACCTACAGCATGTCATGACCGAAAGCACGAGATCGCGGATACAAGGGGCCGAGATGGGTTTTCTCCGCAGGGTGGCTGGTGTCTCCCTTAGCAAAGCAATACTTCTTCTTGTGTGTATGTCATTGGGGATATGAATGCAGATATCTCAGACAGGAACTCATTATTTGCCAAGCATATGGCTCAGTTCTGTCACGATAACAATTTTATATTGTCAAGCAAGACGCTTTTGCCTGCAGATAGTTATAAAAGCGAGGCCTGGCATACTACGTCATGGCTTGATCATTGTATTAGTACAGCTGATGTGCATGCTTCACTTGAGTTACTATGAGCATTCTGTATGGGACAGCAACGACTGATCATATACCTGTTGCTATGTCAATAAATGTCGAACATCTACCTGGGCTAACCAGAAATGTAAATAGTGCTCAAACAGAAAAACTAGACTGGTCAACCCTCACAAAGGATGACATTACATCCTATTATGCTCAGACGGATACATCCTTAACTAATATTCATCTGCCTAGAGATGCAATTATGTGTAGCGATGTTAATCGTAAGGATGCAAAGGATGGGGTGATATCTGCTCCATGTACAGTGATATAGTAAGTGCTCTGTATGAAGGCAGTAAACCTTACTACAAAAGTAACAATAAGACACATAACATCAGGCCTGGCTGGAATAGGTATGTAGCTGAGTATCATGCTGAAGCCTGTGAAGCCACCAAATCATGGGCTATATGGCAGGCAGACCCAGACAAGGGTCTGTATTTGAGTACAAGAAGCTTACTAATGCAAGATACAAGTATGCTATTCGCTTCATCTGTAAAAATGAGCAAGCCATGAGGGCCGATTCCATGGCTAAGAAGCTGCTAAGTAACAATGTTATGGATTTTTGGAAAGAAGTGAAGGCTATTAATAAATGCAAAATATCTCTACCATGCACTGTTGACGGAACATCCGGAACAGACAACATTGTGGAGTTATGGCGACAGCATTATAGAACCTTATTCAACTGTGTCCAAAGTGAACTGTATAGGGTAGATGATATTGATAACAATGAGTCAATGGTGATAATGCCTCATGAGGTGTGCCAAGCTATAAACAAGCTGTCGGACAACAAAGCCAGTGGTGTAGATCATATTTCTGCTGAACATCTTAAATATGCCAGTGTAAAGATAGCTCCTCTTCTTTCTATCTGCTTTACTGCCTTTATGAGTCATGGCTTGTTACCAGACTCAATGTTGTCTGTTCTGTTGGTGCCAGTTATTAAGGACAAAGCTGGTAAAGTGGGAAGCCTAGACAACTATAGGCCCATAGCATTAGCCAGCATATTGTCAAAAGTCCTAGAAAGAATTCTGCTGGACAGATTAGATGACTTTATTAACTCAACAGATAACCATGGCTTTAAGGCTAAACATGGCACTGACTTGTGTATATACGCCTTAAATGAAATTGTCAACAAATATAGAGGTAATAACTCATCAGTTCTTATGTGTTTCATTGATGCTTCTAAAGCCTTTGATCGTGTTAATCATAGGAAGTTATTTGTTAAACTGAGTCAAAGAGGGGTGCCCAAATACATTGTGAGAATTCTGGTCTACTGGTATGGCCACCAGACTATGCAAGTCAAATGGGGCAATAGGGTCTCAGCCCCATTTGGGGTTAGCAATGGTGTCAGACAAGGTGGAATTATGTCCCCAGTTCTTTTTAACCTTCATATTGATGATCTGTCCAAGCGACTGAAAGCCTGTAATACTGGATGCATGATTGGTAGTGAACCATATTATGTATGCAGATGATCTTGTTGTGCTGAGTCCATCTAGCGCTGGTCTTCAGCAGCTTCTTGCTGTTTGTTCTGTGTATGGTGTGGAACATGACATCAAATACAACGCCAGTAAGAGTGCTGTCATGATCTTTAGAACCCAAGAAGATAAATGTCTTAAATTTCCTGATTTTAAATGGTCTGATATTAATCTTAGTGTCTGTAATAAGTTAAAATATCTTGGACACTTTATTACAGAACAAATGACAGATGATGAAGATATTTATAGGCAATGCTGCATGATGTGCACAAGCAAACATTCTCCTACGTAAGTTTAGTGCATGTACAGATGGAGTGAAGATGTCTCTGTTCAGAGCATATTGCACACCGCTCTATACGGCACATTTGTGGTCAAACTACAGAAAAGCAAGTTTACGGAAACTTCAAGTAGCTTATAATGATGCCATGAGAATATTGCTGAAGAGACCTCGATGGTCTAGTGCAAGTGAAATGTTTGTGGCTGCAGGAGTCAATACTCTACAAGCTGTTTTAAGAAATCTTATGTATATGTATTTGCCGGCTTAATGACTCTGATAATGAAATCCTCTTGGCCTTATCGAACATAAGGTTTAGTACTACACGCTACCAATCGCAGCTGTGGAGATTCTTAAACTATGAATTCTTTTTATGCTGTATATGTAATTTATTATATGTAATGCCTTGTCTTTTATCTGGACCCTGAGTCTGTAATAAAGTTTTTCATTCATTCATTCCCTTAGGGATAAGGTGAGAAGTTCAGTCATCCGGGAGGGACTTGGAGTTGAACCGCTCCTCCTTCGCGTCGAAAGGAGCCAGTTGAGGTGGTTCGGGCACCTAGTCAGGATGCCACCTGGGCGCCTCCCTAGGGAGGTGTTCCAGGCACGTCCAGCTGGGAAGAGACCAAGGGGGAGACCTAGGACCAGGTGGAGGGATTATATATCTTCGCTGGCCTGGGAGCGCCTTGGGATCCCCCAGTCAGAGCTGGTTGATGTGGCCAGGGAAAGGAAAGTTTGGGGCTCTCTGTTGGAACTTCTACCCCCGCGACCCGACCACGGATAAGCGGGAGAAGATGGATGGAAGGATGGACATTATGTCATATGACTGAATGGTGTGGGGTGAGCCTTTACTTTAAGTAACGCTATTCAGCTTTTGAAGTCTCTATATGAACATTTGTTTGGTTTCTGACAAATGATACATGTTGCAAACAAGTTGAAGAAATACAGTTTGTGTTTCTTGTGTCATCTTCACCTCTCTGAGATCTCTAATTTGCTCCGGTAATCACACTATTTGCCTTAGCTTAGATTTTAAGCATCTGAGCAAATGTATGCATCAATCAATCCTCGTTGCATTGCTGGAAGTACATTTTAAAAGTAAATACTCTGTTCAAAGTGAAATTCACATCAAAATGCACCTATTGCACAGACAGTAAAAGTACTCATTTTACACATATCTATTCCAGAATCATTTATATAATTTTTATTTAACATTTTAGATTTATCGCTTTCATATTGCAGCCAGTATAGGGGCAGGGTTAACTTTAATTACTTTACACACTGCGTGGTGTATTCCATCCATTGATCATCAACACCTATAATAATACAAGATAAGGGATTTTTCAATTATATTTTGCATTAATAATCTGAATATTTGTGGGTCAGAATCAGAGTATTTGTGTCTGAACGTCTAGTGGAGTATGACTATAAAGTAGCAGACAAGGGACTTACTCAAGAAGTCAGAGAAAGTACTTCAAAAATGGTACTGAAGTGAAGTACTGTCCACCACTGCCTCTTTGAGGACTTGCATTTCATGTTACCATCATTTGTAAAAAAAAAACATCCTCATTAAAAATGAGCACCTGGACTAATGCATGTGTTTGAGCATATCTGTATTCATATCAAATGTGAATTCAACACATTTCCCCTCTTGTTTTAATAAAAGGGTCATTTCACTTCTTTCCCCATTTATGCTCACTTCCCCACGGCTCAGTGCTTCCCCCTGGTGGTTCGGTAGCTGTGTAACAAATGTACACTACAGTGATCTGTAAATAAATGCACAGGAACAGGGGTGAGAGATGCAGCTGATGCCGCACACATGTAGCTCTTTAGACATCATATGTACATACATTAAAAAAAAACACATTTTTTTAAAAAAATGTTAGAAAATGTCTGTTTTGTGTTGGCTTAAAGGAAGCTACTAAAACACACTTTCTCACTGCCTCTCAGGGATTTAACTGCAGACGTTATGCAACTTTGTTTAGTTGACTTTGTTTTCTCCAAGGTTGTGTCTTCCTGGTCGAATGTACTTATTGTAAGTCGCTTTGGATAAAAGCGTCAGCTAAATGCAATGTAATGTAATGTAATGTTATATTACGGGAAGAATGCTCAAAGTAAATGCATAAAACAACAGCAGTGTGATTTTAACTACCTACCAATCTTTTATTTTCCAAAAGACAATCATTTGGGGATCTTTTTTCAAACAAACAGTACAAAGTCAAACTTTTGGAGCTGAACAGTTTTTATAAAAACGTATTACAAAGAAAATGTAAATCACAGCTCTTGAACAAGCAACAATTGAGGATTTGACAATCAGTAAGATGATGTAGCAAAATAATACCGTCAAAGACTTAACACCATTATAAATATACACTTATATACACATTGTACATTTTTGTTAAAGAAACCAACCGCCCTACCAGATTACTTATTTTTCCAAATCACACAAACACCGAGTGACATAAATCAAAGACAATTCAGCTAAAATAACTCCTCAGGAAACCACAATTAACATAAAAATCCTTAACATATTTAAAACAAAATTTGAACAAAAATGAGGCATTATCTTTGTACAAAAATCAATCATTGAAAATGTCTGGTGTCCAACTTTGGTTGTGAGTTTCTTCTTCTTGGTCAAAGGCTAAATTGAAATATGACAGCCAACAGAAATGTACATGTGTTGATTTAATTGGTTGTTTTCCCAGTCAACCGCAGCCTCTGGAACAAAAGCAGTTTTAAGGGAAAAAGGAAAGTTAATTATGTCCGGGGGACTGCGGAGGAATTATCATTTTGGATCAGCGCGTCCACACCTCGTTGGCCCACAGGTGATTGTGGCGGAGCCAGGAACGAGCAGAGAAAACGTCCAGAGTGAAAACCTGATCCTGAGACGAGTTAACGGCCGTGTAGTGAACGACCAGTTTGGGCAGCGGCCTGCACGCTGCGGAGAGGAGGCGGCTTCCTGCGGAGAGGTACTCGCTCTCACAGTTCTGAGTCCTGGAGGAGGAGGAGGAGGAGGAGGAATCAGCGTCAGGTACGTACAGATCACATTACATTACATGTCACTTGTTAGACGCTTTTATCCAAAGTGACTTACATACTCAATACTGTGGGCAATCCCCACAGGAGCAATTTGGGGTGAGGTGTCTTGCTCAGGGACACAACGACATGCTGACTGCAGTGGGGTTTGAACCTGTGACCCCCCTGATCCGAACACCAACGCTCTAACCACTGCGCCACACGCCTCCACATGATGCAACCAGCGACCTCACACACAAACACACTCATTAACTGTTCTTATCTTAAGGCCTGTGTCCACATGACTATTAACGTTTGATTGGATGGATGGATGGATGGATGGATGGATGGACAGATGGATGGATGGATGGATGGACAGATGGATGGATGGATGGATGGATGGATGGATGGATGGATGGATGGACAGATGGATGGATGGATGGACGGACGGACGGATGGATGGATGGATGGACGGATGGACGGATAAGGCAGACGGATATTTTATTTCTCGCAAGTTAGGAAATTGTTTTGTCACAGCAGCATTTTGAGAGTCAATCTACAAGAATTACATCATTTAAAAAGAATGGAATAAAATACGATAAATATTACAAAATGCAGCAACAGCTGGCCTGGCCGATCTGCTCTATCAAACTGGCTTTTCCGAGTGAGAGACACGGCCGAAAACAAGCTTCACCTCCATTTTCTAAAGTGACTTCAACAGCGTGTTTCTGAAAACAATAAGCGCTCAGAAAAAAAGACGCCGGGAGGAGCGCTGTTTCTCAAGGTGGTGGTTTGCAACGGTATTCGCTCTGTTCTTACTGGCGAAGATGCTGGTGCTCAGAGAAAGTTCTTTGTGCATTTCTTTTGCAATCTGTCTACGCTTTTAATATTTTTTAAAAGCACTTTGGCCTTTTTGTTGAAATGTGCTATTTAAATAAACCCTTCTTATCTTACCTTTTGAGAGTGATACTGAGACAGGAAGTGGAGGTCTCTGATAGGTGGAAGATGTCCGTAGCGCTGACCGTGACGAACATCTCCAAGCAGAGAGCCAGCTCCACCTCCCCCAGAGAGCAGGGCACCATCAGGGCCATGAAGCCCGTCGACACCTCCGGGTAGTAGCCCGAACTCAGGGAGTCTGAAGAATAAACACAGGGATACAACCGTTAATACAAAAGTTTGAACGTAAAAGTAATTAACTCAGCTAATCATTTCCACATTAGAGATAATAATAATAAAGCTTTATTTATATAGCACTTTTCATACAACACATGCAGCTCAAAGTGCTTTACAAAATGACACAAGTTAAAAATAAACAACAGGAAATTCCCCTCAGATTATTTGTTAAGAACTTTACAGGTAAAATATAAAATTGTATCAGGTTAATTGACACAAGGAGGTAAAATGAATGATAATACAAATAAAATAAAATAAATAAATAATGGTTTCTCACTGGTAAGACATGACAACTGAATCGATACAACAATATAAAATATATAAAGGATGCACAGATATAAATCGTCTGATCATTACTGTCGGTTTTCCGCCTTGTTGACTGCTATCCTCATACAACATATTAAAGACGATATTTATCTGTTATTTTATTTATAATGAAGAGGTCTTTCTTGCCCTGGCCCAGAAGGGGATCAAATAACAAACAATTATAAATAACTACAAAAAACATTGGTATGAGTATCAAACATCTGACAAATTGTTACTATCAACATCGCTAGAATCAGTGCATCCTGAATCCATAATAATATTTAAACAGAGCAGCCAATAAACCAGAGGGCAGGACTCACGACTGAAGGCTCTCCGCGCGTGGGGCCAGAGGTTCTGCTTTCCCAGTTTGTTCAGGAGCGTTTGCAGCAGAAGAGGATTGACGGACAGTTTCTTACTGAGCATGAAGTCCACGGTGTCTGAAGCTACGGGGAGAATCTGTCGGTCCACGCACACTTGCAGGTGAGAGTTAAACAGAGGATCATACTTGGGGATGCTGACCATGTCTGAGGAAAACAAAAAATATAAAAGAATAATGCAATCCCAATTTCCAAACGCCCCCCCCCCCCCCCCCCCCCCCCCGTTGACAGTTCACAAGCGTGCTCTCTCTCTACCCCCCCCCCTCGTCAGAGTTGTGTAAGGGCCGATGGGTAATAGTGCATTTTGACGGAAATTTAACGATTCTGTCCTTCAAAATGGCGGGCAGCGAAAAAGTGTAGCGCAACCTCTGCCTTAGATACTTTAAAGTCGGCTCAATATATTATTATATACATATCCTATAGAGTGGCGAAGTCCCGCCCTTTCTGGGGGACCTCCATGGGACCTTATTTCGGTAAAAGTATGTATTGAAGTCAATGGAGAAAGATTATCTTTCGATCCTGTTTGAATTGTGCCACGAATTACACATATGATGTTTGTCAATTTAAAAGATAATTTTGCAAGTCAAAAAAAAAAAAGTGTCGTAAAACTGTGAAGTAACACTTTGTGTGAAACCGCTCAATGAACTACATCTCCCGTCTCGCACCACACCGTCACGTTGGCACATTTCACCTCTTTCTTTCAGAATGATGTGAAAAGTATTAAAAGAGGTGAAAATCACTCCAAGTCTGGGCATGTTGAGAGCTGTACATACACAAGGGGAGTTAGTCGGTTCCGTAAGAGCCAGCATGCGGGACCGGGATTTGTAGTCTTTCTAGTTGCGTATTTTTCATAGTCTTATATTTCAACAGTTTTACGACAAACTGACTTTTTTGGAAATTATTTTTTAAGATTGACAAACATCATGTGTGTAATTCGTGGCACAATTCAAACGGGATTGAAAGATAATCTTTCTCTCTCCTTTGACTTCAATACATACTTTTTCCGAAATAAGGTCCCATGGGTCGGAAGTAGGTCCGGGGAGGTCCTCACGCTGGTGAAGGTCCGCAACATCGCCTTCAAAGACTTCAGAGCTGGAGATCCAGCTGGGCTGAAAGCAGCCAGGGCTGACCTGACCTGTGGCATTAGGAAAGCAAAACAAATTCACCTGAAAAATTACAGGACATTTCAAGGATAGCAGGGTATCACGGAGCCTGTGGCAGGACATAAGGACCCTAACGGACTACAAACCACCACCACAGACCTGTGACAGTAATACCTCCCCCCCCCACCGACGACCAGGCTTTGCGTCTTTCACCAGCCAGTGTGAGGAGCACACTGTTGAGGATTAACCCCCGTAAGGCTGCAGGACCGGACAACATTCCTGGTCGTGTGCTGAAGGACTGCGCGGAAGAGCTCACAGATGTCCTCACAGACATCTCCCTGAGCCAGGCTGTTGTTCCCTCGTGCTTCAAGGAAACCACCATCATTCCAGTGCCAAAGAAGTCATCTCCGTCCGGCTTCAACGACTACTGCCCCGTCGCACTAACTTCCACCATCATGAAGTGCTTCGAAAGGCTGGTCATGAAGCAGATCAAATCCACCCTCCCCCCATCGCTGGACCCGTTTCAGTTTGCCTACCGAGCTAAAGGGTCCACAGAGGATGCAATCTCCTCCGCTCTCCACCCAGCCCTCACACACCTGGACACTAAGACTAAGACTAAGGACCCATATGTCAGAATGCTATTCATAGACTTCAGCTCCGCATTCAACACCATCATCCCCCAGCAGCTTGTAAAAAGACTTACAGACCTGGGCCTCAGCCCCTCTCTCTGTAACTGGTTGCTGGACTTCCTAACAGAGAGACCACAAGCTGTACGGGTCAACAATAACACCTCAAACACCTTCATACTGAGTACGGGGGCCCCCCCAAGGATGTGTGCTCAGCCCCCTTCTCTTCACTCTGCTGACCCACGACTGCAAACCCATCTTCAGCACCAACCACATCGTGAAGTTTGCAGACGACACTACTGTGGTGGGTCTCATCAACAACGATGAGACTAACTACAGGAAGGAAGTGAACCAGCTGGCCCTGTGGTGCCAAAATAACAGCCTCTTCCTCAACCTGGAGAAAACAAAGGAGATAGTTGTTGACTTCAGGAGAACCCACCGTCGACCCCCTCTCCCCCTGACCATCAACGGTGCTGCTGTGACGCAGGTGACCAGCACCAAATTCCTTGGGGTGACCATCACTGATGACCTCATCTGGAAAATCAACACCACCGCACTAGCAAGGAAAGCCCAGCAGCGCCTGTACTTCATCCGGAAGCTCAAGCGAGCCGGAGCATCACCCCCCATCGTGCTGACCTTTTATCGAGGCGCCACCGAGAGCATCCTCAGCAGCTGTATCACGCTGTGGTTTGGAAGCTGCACCGCCGCTGACCGCAAGAGCCTGCAGCGCATAGTGAACTCTGCCCAGAGGATCATCGGTGCCTCGCTCCCCTCACTACAGGACATATACAATACCCGCCTCACCTGCAAAGCACTCAGCATTGTGGGTGACTCCACCCACCCCTCCAACAGCCTCTTCAGCCGCCTGCCTTCAGGAAGAAGGTTCCGCAGCCTCAGCTCGGGCACCGTCAGGCTGGGGAACAGCTTCCTCCACCAGGCGGTCAGGATGCTGAACTCTCTCCCCTCCCTACCTCCCTCTCTCCCCCCCTCTGACATCTCTCCTCTGAACTCTCCACCCTGCCTCCGACCTTTCTCCCCTGCCCCAAATGGTCCTGGACTCTAAACCCACACGCCCTTTTTGTTTTTTTGTTGTTGTTTGATGTATATATATGTCACACTGTAGGACCTCGAGAAACAATATTTCGATATTTCTGGATGTACAACATGTAGAATTCTTGACATTAAAGCTGACTTTGACTTTCACTTGACTTTGAAGTAGATGGGCAGGACTTCGCCTCTCTATAGTGTTTCACAACAAATAACTACATCAAGTCTTCCTGTTTTTTCCTATGGGGGAAAAAAACTGGGCAGAATTGAGGAAACTGCTGCTGATTTGCTGCTTATACTTCATTAAGAAACAACGTTTTAGGCTCCTTACTTTTGCTGATAAAATGTGGCTACATGGAAGCAGAATTATGGAAATTATTATCAATGATTGATGAGTAAAAAGGTAGTGGATTTCCCCGGTATAAGAGTGATTCTGAGTCTGATGAAATGTCTGGTGAGTGTCGTGGTTTCATAGGTTTGGCATGAGAAAGTGACAAGTGTTATGGATCTATTGATTTATAAACAAGGCCTGCAGGATATGAGGACCATCTGTTCATTTTAAAGGTCATAGGATTTGCAAATAATGATAACAATTATATAAGTGAGCATATTAGCTAAACATTTTTGTTGCCAGCCTGGTTGTCTTTAAATTTAAAAGGCAAATTAGAATTCAATATTTGAAAAACAGGCTAAATTAAGTTAGGAGCAGCAACAATATAGCTTTGAAACAACAGAATAAACACAATGTAAACGTATCTTACAGGAAACAATTCTTATCAAAATTCCTCAAATGTAAATATAGAGACTGACTGTGTACCGAGGATGACTGAACATGTGTTTGGGATAGAGTAAAGTCACTTTTTAAATACATATATTCGTTGTTGCGTTGTGAACTAAGAATCAGTGTTGAAATCCGCAGGAGAGCTAGCTAACGTTAGCCGTTAGCAACCACTGAGCGGTGGTTCCTGTTAGCTGTGTTATGTTGCTCTCACCGTTTAGCTCTCTGAGTCCAGGCAGATTACAGAGGACCTCCAGCGTGTCTCTGTGAGAGGTTTCCCCGGCCAGACGCATCAACACACGACTTCTACTCTCCAGATCGGCAGGGTCACACGGCCACAACGACGAACTCAGGAACCATTTGTTTTCTGAATTCAAAGATGCAGGAGAAATTAATTAAAAACATATTTCTAAGGCTAAAAGCACACAAAATAACAATATACAGTAGGGTTAAAGTGTAGAGCTGTAGTATGCATCTTTTCTTGGCGTAATGTTATATCAGGCTAAGCTACATCCCAACTAATGAAATACCTGAACTTTTGAAATAACATTCATCTGGCTGCAACTTACAAATTATTTATCCAATATATCATATTCCAATCACTTGTATATAGACTCTTATTGCACTATTTGACTATTTCTTTTTGTATTTACTTGCACTATTTTTTCGGTTTTTATTGTGTTGCACTGTTGGAGGAGCCTGTGACCTAAAATGTTCATCGTCATAACTACACTGTAGCTATGTACATATGACTAATAAAAGCCTTGGACCTTGAACTCAAATTCAGAGTCAAAATAATGTTGAAAAAGGTTTTTATTTTGCATAGAACAGAATCCATCTTCAAAAAACCTGGTGCTCTGCTGAGTAGAAACAACGGTTACATTTTGATGCATTATGGGGGGAGCTGGAGCAATCATAGAAAACCTATTAGCTCTGGGGTCAGTTACCTCGCAGTGTGTTCAGTGCTCCCTCCACGCTGCCACTCAGGAGGAGCAGCTCAGCCGCCACGGTAACCAGGGAGCAGCGCGAGGCTCCATTCTCGTTCCCGAACAAACCCTTCAGTTTGGAGTAGTTCACTTTGGAAAAGGACAGCACATCCACCACCCTCCGACCCTACATGAAAACACACAGACATGGCGATACCAAATGGCATTTACAAACAATGCTGCATCTTGAATTATACAAAAATAACAACAATACTATGTTGTGTGATTATAAAGGTAATCCTGTTTTTGTCAATCAGCAGTATTACTTTAATATCAAACCATAAAGATTGTACTATGATAACAATAAAAAGCTGATTTAATTGATTCAAATGTTTGTTTTGGTGTAGTTTATCAAGCGGTGCAGTGATGATGTATTTTGGTAGGCCCGGACCAGACCACTTATTAACACCACTTTGAGATTTTTGAAGCGTACTGTATATGCAAGCCAGAGATGGACTTGTGTCAGCGTGATGACGTTTAGTAGTTTTATTCACTAGGAACAGCCGTATTTATGACACTAGAACAGGTGTGTCAAACTCAAGGCCCGGGGGCCAAATCCGGCCCGCCACTTCATTTGATGTGGCCCACAAGAGCTTACAAATAATATAATACGTTTATTGTAAGGTCACGTGCCGCTTTACAGGAGCACGTTGCCCATAAACTACATGTCCCACAATGCATCTCATTTTGTGAGATGCACACTTTAGAGACTTGCAATTACTTACTAGACTTATGCTTTCAGGCGTAGTTAATTATGAAGTTATTACCCTATCCGATAATAATCCAATGCAGAAGAAATATTGTTAAATAATACATTATTTTAATATATATTATGTATATTTATCTATGTATATTTATATAGTCTTAACGTTACCACCGGCCCTTTGAGTGTAACCATAATTCTAATGTGGCCCGCGATGACATTCAGTTTGACACCTCTGCATTAGAAGCTTCGGACATTGACGAGTGGAGTATTTACTGAGGTATTTAACGTGCAAATCTGTTCAGCTTGTGTTGACCACAGACCTTATTTCAGGCTTCCAACCACAAACAAAAAAAAACAATGATTTTGAGACGAGGGAACCGAAAGGGGTGGAATGCTAAGTATTTTCGGGGTTTTAGGACTTATTACTGCAGCACTATATTTAGATCACAGCTAGCAATTACCAGGCACTGAAACAGGGAGTCTTTACATAAGCTCCCCTGAGTAAAGACATTCCCTGTAACATGAAGACTGATTTACAGACGCACACATAGGAGATAGGAGTGTGAAACAAACTGTTTATTTACCTTTGACCATTGTTGCGTTTTGTGGTATCTCAACATGAGCGAGACCCCAATTCTGCCCAAAAAACTCCCGACCAGGTCATCTTCCCCCTGACACACTAAAAATCACATAATCAGGATTACTATACAGAAGCATGTTATGAAAACAAATGCATTCAAAGTAAAAGTTTTTAACCCGACTCAGCGAAGGTAGCAAAGGGCAGCGACAGCTTGTCTTTGCTCTCAGAGAGCAGCGCGGTGGCGATGCGCCCGCTGATTCGCCCCAACTGGTGGGGATGTTTGGACACCTGACAAATGGAGCGGAAAACATTCCCCATCCTCCTCCAGTCCTCCTGCTTGGCACACAGCTGACAGACAGAACAAAATAAAGGCAGACCTGAATATTAAACCATTTCCTCCTTGGATAAATTGCAAAAAGTAATATCCTGAAGAGAAGAACTTACCTCTATTTCCACAATGGAGTCGTCCAGATTCAGGCACTCTGGGAAGGGTGCACTCTGGGATACCCTTTGTAAATAAGTATAAAGAGGAAAAGATGACGGCAAGTCTACAAGTGAAAATGGACTCCTTTATCAAAAGGATGCCTAGCTAGTTGAAAAGGGTTGTTTTAACTTAATTGAGTTTCAAAAGAAGACATTATGGAAAATGTCCCCGTGTAACCGATCCTGCTCTGCTGAAGATGTCACTCCTCGTGTAAAATGCTTTTATTTATTTGTATTTACTTTACTATTATTAATTTTATTTATTTGTTATTATCTTATTTCAAACTTGTAACTGTTTTACTTTATTTCATATTCTGTTTTACCATATTATTATTTGTCATTTGAATGGAAAAGTCCTATGTCAGGATATGTCTTGATTTGTAAAAATGAAAATAAACAGTTAAAATAATATAAATATATAAGTATACAGAGTAATTAAGTGACTTATTTGTCAAGAATCAATAAATAAAGAATGGGTGATAATTGATTATTCTAGTGCGATACATGTTGAGCTTCCACTTACTTGTGGTTACCAGGCACTGAAACAAGTGAGTTTGGATTGACCGTCTGCTGGAACTCAGGAGTGTTTTTAACGCTGTCGAAGCTGTTCAAATTCAGCACCAAGCCGGCACTGGCCATCTGTCAATCAACAAATATGCACAATTACATCTTCATAGAAAATTAAAAAAAAGAGATTTCACTGCCTTACAGTGAGTTAGGTACGTGTGAGCTGAAATACCTTGTTTGTGAGCTCCCTGAGATCAGGTACAACACTTGTGAGACTCTTTTCTTTCACAATGTTGAAGAGGGCCAACAGGAACTCGGGGCCAGGCTAGAAAGAAAACACCCCTAGTTTTTATCAATAATTGGGATTTAACACTTTCAACACAAGGCAATTCAAAGTGCTTTACAAAAATGAAAAACATTAAGAGCATTAAGAAATAGTGCAGCAGAAACAAATGCTAAAATGGCATTTTAAAAAAAAGCTAAAAGAATATACTTAATAATAACAAGCTAACATAGAATAACACAGACTAAAAAAAGTGACAGTGCAGTGTAAGATATTAATAGTTTAAATAAAGCGACAGCCAGAAGAAAAATCATCAGCCTGGATTTTAAAATAGTGAGAGTTGCAGCGGACCTGCAGGTGTCTGGGATTATATTATATATTCCAGATATTCTGAACATAATAACAGAAAGCAGGCTGACGCAGAATACGTGAGAGTTCAGGGTGGTACCATTGAGTTCTTCTCTATATTAAAACACAACATGCCCTGCCCTCTGGTGGATTACATGCCACACTGCAGGGTGACATTATTGTTAATAACATGGATGAAAACCACACTGACCACGATCTTGTGAGCCAGGCTGACGTTGAGAACCGAGAAGACCTCTGACACCATGCCGGCATTGAGCAGAGCCCAGAGGAGGGTGAGGAGCACGGGCATGGAGAAATACATTCCAGGTGGGTTGTTCTGGTAGTATCCTGTATACACAGCTCCTAGAGACAGAAACACATGGTTTATATATTCAATATTTCCCAATGAGAAGAAGGATTATGATGTCGACGGCTAAACGCTTTGCCATCTTATGAGGCGGCACAGAACGCTTTAGTCAAGAAATCGTTCAACTTCTTATAAAAAGGCACTGGTGACGTCACTGTTGAAAATAGGAGCTTGTTTTAGCCATTCCTGTCTATTCCATCTCTCTATCACGATACTTAAGCCACGATACGATAGCGATTCTACAATGTGCTAAGTATTGCGATACGATATATTGCGCATATGATTAATAATAGGGATGCTCCGATCGCCAATTTTGGGGCTGATAGCCGGAATCAGTATCGGCCGATGCCGACCGTCAATCCGATCGGATCGAGTGGGCGGGGCCTATGGGGATCTTCCATTTAAAGTGATGTTTAAAACTCAGTTAATGGGGCTCATTCACTGGCGCTTCCACAAACAACAACCAACATAATTATTACATTCAAATAAAGTACATTATTCAAGTTTACATTAACTTTGGATAATAACACGGGAGAAATGAGCGGAAGCGCTCTCTTTTCCTCCCTCCCCCTCTCTCTCTCCTGACAGCCTGTCAGTATCGTCTCATGCAGCTCACTGATCCAGTAATGAGTGACCTGACAATGAAGAAAAAATATATGTATAACTAGTTTAGCTTGTTCCAGAGGTATAAAATAGCTAAGTGTGTTAGGCCGTAACTGTTAGTGTGCGTTTTGCTCCGCTCACCGGTCCGTCACAGCGGGCGGAGCAGCAGGATTTCTGCTTCACACACGCGTTGCATACCGCTATTTTATTGTCATTTTCGGACACCTTAAAATACTGCCAGACCGGTGAAGCCATTTTGGCGAGCTTGTTTTGCCGCGCATAGAGAAAAGTGTCATGTATTCTACGTCATGCGATCGGCTCTTGCGATCTGCATTTTTAGAGAGATCGATCGGCAGAGAGTGAGTATCGGCCGATATCGATCGGAGCATCCCTAATTAATAATAATAAATGTTATAAAAGTGTAAAGCACCTTTCATTGACAAAAGTAATCCCAAAGTGCTACAAGGGGCATAATAGAAAAAAGAAACACACGTTTAATCGAAGGCTTTTTTAAATAAAGGTTTTTAGGCCTTTCTTAAAGATTGCACGATATATTGGGTTCCAGTGTCTTTAACATGTGACAAAAGCATTCGTTCTCCACAACGCTGTATGGACGCAGGTCTTTGCACATGAAGCAGGTGATGGAGTTATTTTCTTAGCTCGCTCAGAATTTGAGGGTATCTTTGCCAAGCTAATTTGCAATATGAAGTTTATATAATAAAATATCGATACTTGGCTTCAGTGTATTGATACAATATCACCACGCAAAGTATCGCGATACTATTGTGTATCGATTATTTCCCCCACCCCTAGAGCTTTACATGTCAGATAGACCCTTTCATAACAAAGACACTGAATGTTGCTGCTGTTGTGAAGTGTAATACTTTAGTAGCCGTGTGGATCATCCTCTTTGCTCTACAGCTGTCAGATTTAGTGCTAAAAAGCTTTTCATTTTGTATGAGAGCAAGCATCTATCTCATGATGAAACTCATAATACATAGGCAAAATGTAGGAGAGGTAAGGACATTCAAACAGAGTGACTTGCTTCGAAGTCAATATCGCAAAAACTGCCAATTCGGGTCTAGGTTACTAGATAGTTTGAAAACTCACCTGCTTTCTGAAGGCACATTGGTTTTTTGGCGAACCGCGTCACAGTTTCAATGCACAACTAAAAAGGGGAAAAAAGGGAAGGGATTCAATACTTCTGAAATCAAGTGTAGAAAAAATACAGCTATGGCTCAGCAGAGGGTGATGTTGCCTCTGTGATCAACACCTGAGAGTTTTAACATTTAGCACATAGTCTGTTGTATAGGTCTTTGTGCATGTCAATGATCTTCAAAGCCTAGTTAACGCCTGCCTTAAACACCTCGATTGGACTTCTGTAACATAGAAACATAACGAAAAGAACTGCAGCAGCACAGGCAGTATGAGAAAAATAAAGACCTTTTTGAATATTAAAGCATGTAAACGTGTCCCAGTAGAGACACAAAATACAAATATGAACCTGAATAAGCATTCAAGGGCCCCTTGAATTACTCTTACACTTTCCAGTATGTTGCTGTTACCCATCTCATGACTTTCTGCTTTATAATTGTTTTTTCCATATCCATTGCATCAGCCATTTAACTGACTCATCTACTTTAGTTGATGACAGGAAAGAAAACACTACAGACTTGTACAATCCTCCAGTGTGTTCACAGTTTATCATGATGCTGGGAAGCTAAGATGATATTATTTTCACTGAGGGCGTACCTTCTCGTCGCCCGCCTTAGGCACATGTTGGAAGTAACAGATCTTGAACCGACAGAACAGCGAATCACTGAAGTACTGTCTGCAGTACTGAGGGTTTAGAGAAAGAGTCAAGTCACATATTAACTCAATTACAATTAAAGCTGCGCCAGGGCACTTTACAGGTCTTGATTAAACATCATTAACAAACCAAGCATAATACATCTCCCGGCACAAGGCAATTATTCAACTCATACCTAACGCTACATAATTAATTCCATATCAGCCCTGGAAACCATCTTGTGCTACTTTATAATTGAGAAATGTGCCAAAAAAAATTCTTTAAATCATATCATAAAGAACAGATGTTATACCAGACATGTGTAATGTATGCAGCCAGATTGTGTCCCCCTGCTATCCCTAGCATTAAGTTAGAGATCCTAAAAACAGCGCAATTCTTTTTTGAATTTGTACTATTAACATCATTCTTTAACTGAAAATTAAATTACCACCTGGGATAAACGTGTCTAAACAAACTACCCCGCCAACGGAGCCCCCCCTGAAATTCAAGGTGTCTAATTATTTTTCTTTTTATCACCAAATTGCAACTAATCTATCTACTGTCACCTTTCACATTGAACATGTGCTCATTTATTAAATAAACTAAACACTTTCATTGTAAGTTGTGAGTTTAGTGTTTTTGACCCTAAGAAACACTGATGCATCAATCAATAACAATAATCCTCTCTCTGCTCCATAGGATTAAACAAATATATATACCCACTCAGGCAGCACCCCCCCTCAACGCAGTAAACCTAGGGGAAACACTGATGTTGTTTGTGAAGCACAGATGTTTTGGTCAGTTTCTTGGGAATAACACCCATGGTTATTTACCCATGACATTTCCCTGTGTGTTGTCTTTATATTTCTGTTGTAAATGTCTTTTCTTTCATATGTTATTGTGTGCTTTATTACATGTACAGCACTTTGGGTCGACCAAAAATCGTTTTTAAATGTGCTTTATAAATAAAACTTGACTTGATGCTTAGGCCAATAATCATGTGTATAAATGAGGCCTTACTGAGGGAAGATAGTGACCGTTTTTCACGTGATGGAGCACTTACAGAATTAGATTTGTGGCACCTGACCTCTGTCATGTTGGGTGGGTTTTTGATCAAGGGCCCTGTGAAGACGAGAGTCAAACACAGCAGCTTTCACTCTGAATCAGCAACACTGGACTGCAGGCCAATGACAAAATGAGGAGTTATCAGTGCAAGCAAGATACACGTTGTCATTCTCTCCTCACCAATTCTTGCAGTCATAAGTGGAGGGAAGTTGTTTTGCAGGGACTTCACCGTATGGATGGGCTGGCTCCTATTACAAGACATAGTGACAGTCAAAACAATACAAAATAAAGGTAGGCTGAATATGTTGTGTGTGAATGTGTGCAAACCGCTACCTCTCCAAAACTCTGTTTACAAGATTGATGTTGGCATCAGGGAGACTCTGGTCGGAAACACAGAAACAGATAGGACGCTTTTAATAGCCAAATAAATGATAAGTTTCTTAAAAAAGCTGCCCCAGCATAACGCAATGGGGAGACGGGTAACATGTTTATTTCATGGAGAAAATCACAGGAAACGCTTTGCCTTTCACATATTTGAGTTTGCTGTAATGTTCTTTTTTTATTTTGGATTGTACTACCAACAATAACCATCACCATAAATCTTCCCCGGTTGGTTACGACGTATTTTTGTGTAACAATCTTCCTGAAGAATTTGTTGTCAATTATGCAAATGATATATTTAATATGTGGTACATTTCAGTAACACATTTCTTGTTTTTATTTTGTTGATGATGAGGAGTCAAAGCTTTTCTTTTGAGGGCATTATGGATATAGCTGTTTGTACAACTCCATAAATATGAACATACTATTCCCTAAATATGCAATTAATGCTGAATTATGGTACATTTTGGAGATATGTACGGATTCAAATAGACAAAAGAGTAGAAAAATAAACACCTAAATATGTAATTTAGATGTTTTTCATTCAGATGCTTTGAAAAAAAGACAAGCAATGGAAGCAGAGCTCTCAAAATTGATCCTGGAACAGGATATTAAAACATCCTGTGAAGTCCCATGTGAATTTAGATACTTCTATATTGAAAATGTGCCCGACACTTTTTGTTATTTATTATTTGTAGATAATGATGGTCTGCATCATGCTCCTCTTTTCATTCAGGACTTTTACCTGAGGGAAGGCACAGAGAGCAATTATGCAGGAGAGAAACCCTGTTAATGTTTATGTAGCAATGCCTGATACATTGCAATAAAGTGGTGAAAGACAGTGTTTACTTACCACTATAGAACACTACATTAGACAGTACCGTGTTTTCAGTCGAAGGCCATGTGCTGCTTTGCGTGGGGGGCTGGTTTCTGCTACACTGAGGTCTCCATGTCCTGCTCTCCTGTTCTGTAAAACACAAACAAAAAACACAACCATAGGATCTGTTTAATCAAATTCTACAACCAAAAACAATTATATTTCTTAACATAAGGTTACTTTTTTGTTATTTGTATCATCGCATAAGTCCCTGAGCAGAATTCAGAATCAGAAGTATATATAAAATGTGTCTTTTGCTGTAGTAACTGTTTTAAATGTTGTGTTTTGGTTTCAAATGACGGATTATTGCTCTGCATTTTCTGACTGGCGCACTGGTCTTACCTGTGACATCAGTACTGCCATCGTAGGTATCAACTGAGCTCGATCTGAAACATAAAATACATTTTTTATTGAATTTGCAATGAGCAATGCAATTCAGTAAGGATATGCTTTTAAATAAGAGACTTTACTCTTCTTTAAACTCCAGTGATGCTCCATCTATCCTGGGCGTCAGTGTTTTCACCACTCCAACAGGTCTGTGTTTAGGGGCCTCTGTGACCCGGGTGGGGCCTAGCTTCAGCACTCTCTCCTGGGGCAGCTTTTCGAACAGCTCAAAGTCGTCCTGGATCATATCGACAAGTAGGATGTCCTGTTCGTAAGCTGTGATATCGTCCAGAACGCTCGGCTGAGTATCCTCTTCCACACTTTTATCCCTATCACTGCCTGCTACTTCAGATGGACTAGATCCTTCTTCTCCAATAGGACTTGGCTGTCCTTCATCACTGAAAGACCCGTCATCGTCTTCATCACAGCTGGGAGAAGAGCAGGGTTCTGTCAGAGCTCCTGAGGTTATGCTCGCCTTTCTCTTAGCCTCGGAAGGAACTTGATCTGATTTGTTGTTACCCTGTTCCACATCATCTTCATTGTCGGTTTCATCCTGGCTTTCCTCTTCATTAGCATCCTCCACATCTTCATTATTGTATGGCGAAGACTCCACGTCCTTTGGAGTAGCTTTAGAGACTCCTTCCAAGTCTTCCCTATTATGTTCAAGATCATCCTTTGAGTTTTCATTATTGCAATTGACAATTTCTGGCATGTGACATTCAGGTAACACTTGACGTTTGCTGGAGTCCATGTGTTGGTCCTCCTTTGCGTCACCTGGGCAGTCTTGGCTTTGGGGGGGAAAAAGGCTTTTTTGTGATTTTCCTTGGGGGGAATTGATAGGAGAGAGAATCTGTGGAAGCATAATAACATTTGAATCCGTTTTGTGTGTGAGGAGTTCTTCGTCACTCTCTTGCTCGACTTGAGGAAGGAGGAGGGAAGATTGACATGAATCAAAGGAGTCAGAGTTATGTGAAGGAGCAGAGGGTGAAGTCCCTGATGTTATTTGGGATTCTTCACAGGTGAACAATTCTTTATATCCAGCTTTGACCTTACATTTGGGTGTTGAGGACGTACATGCAGAATAAGCTGATTCAACAAGTTCGACTTTCTTCAGTAGGAACAATGAAAGTGTGAGAGAGGAGGGTGTGGCTGGAAGGCTGCTCGGACCACTGTGTGAGAACAGAGATGACATGGGAGATAAAGTATTGGCAGTTTCACAGTCACTCAGGTCAAGAGCTGATGGGGAAGGGGTCAACGTGGAGCTGTCCGGTTCAGGTCTATCAACTGGCGAAGATGCGGCTACATTGGAAAATGTAGCCTTATCGAAGGAGAGACTGGGTTCTTCTGCTTCCATAAGGTGAGATGCAAACTCCGTAGATAATGATGACACATTGTCATGTGTTTGCCTATTCCTCTCCTTTAAAATGCTTTCTCCATTCTCTTCTCGCTTGTCTTCCTTTTGAATGGAAACATGATGGGCTGTGATTGAGGAGGCCTCTGAATGTGGGAGTTCATCATTGGTCCATTTGCTGGATATACCTGGCTCAATTTGATCGGATGGAGCGTTGCTGTTATTTCGAGCCGATAGATCAATAGGCTCTGCTTGACAGTCTGTGGTATGTGGTTTTGGGATCAAGCGACTGTTAGGGAAGGGCCAGGACATAAAAGTGCGTGCACAAGAATATTGTATGTTCCTGATATAGGGCCTCGCTCTCTGGCAGGTAAATGAGTCTAGTTCCTCCATTTCAACCTCGTTGGTATCACTGAACACTTCTGATGACATTTCTGCTGCCTCAGTGTTTGTGGGATTGTTTTTCTCATCACAAGGTCTATTGTGGACATTGTTTTCTTTCTCAGTGGAGCCAAAACAGCTGCTGTCACAAACTGCACGCTCTACACATGCTCGACTTTCAACAGACATCTCTTTGTCTACAGAGTCTGTTTCCGCTTGGTCTTTGCAAGTGACATTTTCGAAATCCGGAGTAGATGGCAACGTCCCATCTTTAACACCATGCCCTAGTTTCAGTCTTTTGTCCCTGTGGATCTCCTCTCCTACTAGGTTGGATCGAGAGCTAGGATCCTCTTCAACATCTCTGCCATGAATGCGAGTCCTGCACTGCCCTTCTTGTGTGTGTTCACGTAGTGAGGAAGAAGCAGAACAGGTAGTGGAGCTTTTACTCTTCAGGGAATGACATCTCTTGTGACTGGATACTGTCTTTGCATTTGTGCGATGGCTCTGGTGTTCAGTAGGACTCAGAGCACGACAGACAGACTGAACTTCTTTAGCCGAAACACTTTCCTTGATTTCTTGCTTGTTATGCCCTAAACACCCAGGCTCAAATGAAAATCCAGCTCTCATTTCTCGGTTTTTAGCAATGTCACAAAGCATCACCTTCGGGTACTGGTCTATCCATATGATAATCTTCTTAGAGGTGGCCGTGGCTTTTTTATTGTTCTCAACCTTAACCGTAGGATGCTCTGGCCCACAGCTACTGCTTTTTTGCCAATGCTCACCCAAAGTTGTATGATGACGGGAAATGTATTTACAGTCACCACAGAGGCTGCAAACAGAGGATTTGGCAGCCTTTCCCAAAGACCCATCTGAACCAGCAAGTCTGGCAGGGCTTGGGAGCGTAATTTCATCATCATCTGTGAAAACAAAAAACATTTGGAATTATTAAACACTAACAAAATCCCCTCTCACAATTTAAATGTTTGTTTTTTTTGTTCCACAGATTTAAACTAGGTCCGAGTGATCTAAAGAATCATAAATATCATTTTATTTTCTAACAAATACGTCAATTTTGATATTGTAGAGTTGCCCATTGACGGTAAATTCTCAAAATGACTACTGTAATGCAGCTTTTCAAAACACAACACTTAAGATATTCGGATATTAAATATCTAAGAAGATTTCTAGTCTGATATGACGATTACGATAACATATCCAAATATATTGCTTAGCCCTTTTATAAACCTACCAATGTTAGCATCATCAGATCATTTGAGCCATTGCCTGTGAGACAGTAGGTGAAACACAAAGCTTAGGGGAGCTTTACTTTGTTTACTATATTTTTTAACCCTTGTTTCTGGTCACATCTGACCACTTTGCTACTTTCAATCTTAAAAATTGTGTTTTACATTTAATTGCAAGGCACTTTAGTTACACCTGATGTAAATTCACAAGCTACCCTGCAGTATACAAAGTCATTCAAACTAGCTGCACCTTTACCAGCTTTGTTAAATACATTAATAATGCATCAATAATTATAATCAAAACACATAATATATATTATTCTGAAATGGACAATTTGCATAATGAGTACTTTTACTTTTGGGACTTTAAGTATATTTTGATGCTAGTACTTTTGAGTAACATTTTGATAACAGGACTTTTACTTGTAACAAACAGAGTATTCCTACACTTTGGTACTTCTACTTAAGTACTTCTCCCACCTCTGGCTAAAACAGACCACCGTGAACACAACAGTAAGGGGGGAGAAACAAGCAAGACAGGAGGGTTAAAAATCAGTATAAAAATATGGGGTCGATTAGACGTTGACGTTACTTATCTAATGACAGAAAACACTTATAGGCTAGGCAAGTAGCTCATTTTTAGAGATGTATTTTTTGAAGTAGCTAAAGCTGTTTAATACATGTAGTGGAGTCGAAGAATAAAGTAGCAATACATGGAAATACCTAAGAAAAGTACCTTAAAATTGTACTTAAGTAAATGTACTTAAGTTACTTCCCATCTCTGTAGGATGGGATTCACATTAGTCGCCTTTAGCTTAGCATAAAACACGTTCTAAAAAAAACTTAGCAAAACGCATGTAATTAGCACATTAGCTAACAGCCTTTTCCTGCCAAAACAACCCCAATTAACACACATTTACTAGACCCCAATGCCAGTTTCTGTGCACGTTTAGTGATGGTCAAACAACCCTCTTAAAGTGGCCCTTACTTGATCCTGTCTGTGCAGCAGCCGGATCGGGATCACACCAGGCGGACTTGGCCTTCTCTTTACACCCGTTGTCCCTGGCTCTTCTACCAACGCGAGTTTTCCCATTAACACCACCTTGTGTAGAGTTGCACCTTCCAGATTTTACTACACCTGACTTTTTACTCTTTGTAGCCTCGTTAATCAAGTCCTTTTTGCAAGACATTTTGCCCCTTTTTGGTTTTACCACCTCTTTCCTGTCTGCAGCCGTGCAATCGCACCAAGTAAACTTCAATCTGAGGTTGCAGAGCTCCTTTAAAGTGCGCATCCCGTGCTTGCTCTTGCTCCTGGTGTTTGGTTTACACTTTTGAAACTTGCCTCTGGTGCATGGTCCCTCTTCATCAATAACGTGCACACTACCATCCCCTTTGGATCTCCATTTTGACTTTTGCGTTCCTACGCACGGCTCCTCCGGTTCTCCTTCGATCGTGTTCGTCACGTGTGCGGGGCTTGTTAAAGACGATGGCACGGATGCATTGTTGTTTTGGAAAGAGTTACTGTCTTTAGGTTCAGGAACAAGTTTGTTTTCCTCTGGTTTCTCAGTTGCAAAATTATTCTGTAAGTTTCGTCTACGCCGCGGCACCAGCGTCAGACTGAAGTTTGTCAACGCGGTTCGGTTAAGTTTGTTCCTGCTAGAAGAGGGTAACATGCTTATAAATACAAAAACTGACTTATCAAAAGGAGAGAAATTATATATCTAGACCTGGTTACTTTGAAGAGTGCGGCTAGTAGACATGCGTGACAACCAGTCTATGGTGACAACGTCAAAAATACACCCGTTCATAGCGTCCATTTTCCCTGAAGCACATCCACATTAATTGACCATACTTTGACACCGCTCATTCTGCGCATGCGCAAGATTGCTCATGGAAAACGTGAATTCAGAGCCCTAGAGATCTCTCTATCTCTTATCTCTCTAGGGCTCTGCGTGAATTAAATTAAGAAAAAATGAAAAACCAATCAGTCACAAGAACATGACATATATTATCGAAGCTATACAAGTGGAAAATGCCCAGAGCTTGTAATTTCATGTAGTGATGACCAGGGGCGTTGCCTGGACCTGGAAACATTCGGGGCTTAGCCCACAGTGGCGGCGCTACAGTCAAATTTTCTACTGCAAGACTCCCCACACGCACATACACAATTGCGCCATCTGGTGTCACAAACGTGTGCCTGCATTAGCTTTGTTACAGCAATGGATTGTGGGAGATTCTCAGAGCACGTGAGGATCTCTTGAGGGTAAGGTGCCTGTATTATCTCGGTGGACAAAATGTATGTTTTTATTTTATAAGGACAATAACGTACTATTGTGTTTGTTTAGTTTAATGTTAATTGATTAATGCTCACAGTCACAGCAACATGCTTTTAGTGTGATTGGCTATTTGTTTTATATGATTTATCAACGTGATCATCAATAGCTAATCTGAGCACCAGAACCCAGCTCAGAGTCCTTTTATGCTGTCCATTGAAATGCAGGTATGTGAGTTTTGTACACCAGTTTATTTATGTTTAATGTTTCACATTGCTCCACATGATGCCTTGACTACAAAGTCTTCCATGTTTCTACGCTTCTTCCTCTGTGTCACAGTTTCGGGAATATCAAGATCATTGCACAGGGCCTTGGTCTTGTCATAGACCTCATGTGCTTTCTCGTTACTTTGGTAACTTTTCAGTGTGTTCTCAACTGCTGTTTTGTAATCTACTGCCTGCACCAAGTCAATTGTTTCTTTCTGCAGGTATTTGTGCAGGCCCTGAGTGGTTGAGAGCAGTGTCTGGAACATGACAGCATGTAGATGGTACTGCATTTTCAAAGCTTGCTTTCCAGTCCCTTTGGTAGAGGAGCTAAAGGCTCCCTAAAGTCTTGATCAAAGCAGGGAGGTTTTTGACATGCCCAGCGAACAAGTTGTTTGTCCCCTACCTCTAGCTGTTTCTGAAATGTTTGCAATCTCTGATGGTGGAAAGAGATGTGGAGAAGAAAGAGTAGAGACACTCCAGGAGATCAACGCAGGTATGTGAGTTTTCTACACCAGTTTGTATAAGTTTAATGTTTCACATTGCTTGTGAAAAATATACTACCACTATACGATCACTGATGTTTTGTTTTGTTGTTATTTTGTAAAAGAGATAGCATGAGAGGATCTCTTAAGCAATGCAGCTCACGTGTCCTTTTGATATGCTGTCCATTGAAATGCAGGAAAGTAATCACCAGCTCTGAGTGATCTGTTGCCGAGGGGACACTACACCGGAGTTACATAGGCAGAGATAAAGTGCTCTTTTGGGGGGAACTCACCTCCTCTGGGGGGGCCGGGCCATGCTCCCCCAGGAAGACTTTTTTTAAATACTGAAGTCAAAAGCATCAATCTTGTGCACTTTGAGAGCAACATCAAGAGATATGGATACATCTCTCAACACCCATATGTCAAAAAGAAATCAAAGAATCAGAAACGGGTTTATTATTTAAACACACTTCATTTTCCAATTAAATCATAAACTATGTCAAATTATTAGAAGTTGTTAGTAATCAGATTAAACAGAAAACAGGGATGGAAGGAGGAAATAATAATCCCTCATCACTTGCTGTTTGCGGTTGAAATGATCTCTTTTGCTGGCCAAACATGCTGGATGGAAAGCAGTGATGTCTCACTTGCCTTGGCCCTGTATCTGCAGTCCCTAAATCAGTCATGTTACTCATTGACTCTTGTCTGTTCTGGTGTTCCTGTTCATTGTTGTCTCCATTGTTGTTCTTGTCTGTTGTATCTCCTTCTTGTGTGTCCCTTTCTCCTGTTCTCCTTTCTTCATCCTCTACTCTGTTTGGCTCATCTGTGATGACTGTGTAGGTAAACACAAACAAGTATGTAAGTCAATCCGTTTCCAGCTCTGTCAAATAAATGAATTTCAAGATACACACATGTGTCTTCATTCAAATGAGTGTCACCACACTGTCACACAATGTAATACTAACCAATTGAAAATAGTTACATTTACATTGGAAACCTCTTGTAGATATCACTGTTAAGAGTAGTTATCTGCCAATAGGACAGAATCATTCCTATACAAATGCAGTTTGAGTAATTCACTTAATATATTTACTTAAAACTTTAATATAGTCATTTTCACTTAATACTCTAATATAGTCATCTTTCTGCATTCAACACTAAGGAAAGCTGTACAATTTGACATGATAATGAGGAAAAAAGGCCTCCGACAATGCAGATCATTTTTTGATCATATCAATTTTAAGATGGGGGTCAAGGCTTAATATTTGGGAGCAAAGTGTCCCTTGCTTCCTTTCAGGAGCCCCACTGGATTGGCTTTGATCTGAAATATTTGTATAAAAAGCTTGTTAGCTGGCTGTCCATCTCATAATGTTCACATAGAAACTAGCTGTCAATAGGAATATCAATCAGAAGAATTATATTTTCATGCAAAATCTGTCACAAAAAGAGGTTGCACATTTAAATGCAGGTGTTGTTATGGCAACGTCAGTGGCCAGACAGCCACATTTACTGCTGCAAATACGTTCAAACATGCTGTCGACACGTAAAGCAGTGGCAACTATGCCACCATTTCAGCTCACTTTTTCTCAGAAATACTGTCACATAACATCCATATATATATTTCAATGCTAGGTTGATGCTTAGCTAAGCTAACTATGAAACACTTTAACTGACAGGACTCAGGAATCAGGATCAACTGTGTACTACTTACTGTAAGGTAGCTTCTAGCTTCATGTCGAACACAGACAGTAAGTCAACATTTCCCAGAGAGCTTTCTTTGAAATCACCAAGTAACGCTAAAAAACACAACATTTAGATTGTATGACAAAGTGTTTATTTAATATATCTGGCTAGCTATAGCTACTTGCTAACGGTTTAGCTTACCCGCGCGATTCAAAGTAACGTCAACGTAGCTATAATGTATGCTTTGCTTACATGTTCGCATAACTTGTAAGTTTACTGACAGGTACATACCTTGTTCATCTGGCTCAGGTGGTGGCTCTGGGGTTGTTGTGTGAGCCACCACTTGAGAATTGCCGTCTTTTTTATTAAAGAAATGTCTAATGTCCATCTTCAGAATCTCCGCGTCCGGGGCTGACAGTTTAAAGTTTAAACATTGTCACAGAGGAGAGGTACGTACCTGTCAGCCAATAAAACACGTTTATTTCCATGCAACTCTCTGATTGGTCTGGTGGCGTCGTCTTGCCTCTGTGTTGCATTCACTGAACATGGGAAATTACAGTTCTGCCGTCCGTCCTATAGGTAAAGTAGGTTAATGTATTATATTATTGAGGGAGAATTTGTCCGGGGCTAAAGAAAAAACATCCGGGGCTAAAGCCCCGGATGCCTACCCCAGGCGACGCCCCTGAGTGTGAGTAATGTGAATCGTGTTGTTTGTTTAAAGTTAACAGCAATACAAGCAACACGTGCTAAATGTGAGTCTTACAGGGAAACAGTAATCTGTTAGCCTAGGGGCTCTATGATGACTCGCTGCAAAACCAACTGTTAGCCTTTTTGTTTATTTGTTTAATGAAACCGTATGTTATGGTTATGTTACTTAGCAGAGGCTTTTATCTAAAGTGACTCTCAAAAGAAATAAAAGACCCATAATTAACATTAGAATATCAATACAAATAGTTACATAGTCAGTTACATTACTTATTACATTTTTAACGGTAATTAGTCATCTATGACCTAATACATTTCAAAAGTAAACTTCCCAACCCTGATCATTAATTATAGTCCGCTAATTAATTAAACTTCAAAGGATGACAAAAGCATGTCAATATGATCTGTCTGTCCACTACATTAAATCAGCAGTAGCCTAAGTTGTATTACTATTTGAATTAATTGTAAATAATCTTAACTGTGCTGACTGCCTGTTTACTCCACACTACTTGTTATCAGACAGTCTCATCATTTTGAAATGTGTTGTAATATTGCACGAGGTGTTTTAGTCAGTTATTATGTCGGCCTATTCTGTAGGTTAGAATCTGTCGTGTCAGAATCTAACAATTAGGCCTAATTTATGTCTGTCTGTGAAATTATTTCAAAATGTTCAGTTTGACCATTGACCATTTAGGCTCTCTCTTTTTCAAGATGCATATTACAATCCGAGAGGGGAGATCCTTGCCCGACTTACAGCGATGTACTACATGTTGCAAAGACTTTCACTGCCCGTTATGTGCCTCAAATGTGTTCCACCCAAATGTCCAGGTGCTTTCACTGTGACGACCATTATAAGGACGTCGGCACAGGCTACCGGGGAAGTGGACGGCGAGGAATCTTCCAGGGTTTTTACTCCGAAGAGGGCTTCCCGGGGTACTGCAGCTGGAGCTGTTGTCTGGTGGTTGAGGGCCGCGCCTCACCCCAGTGAAGAATCCTCATTGTGGAAATTGTGCCCAATGAATAACATTTGATTCTGCACTGAAATGCCTCTTGGTCAAACTGCATGTTTATCTTTGGCAGCCATGTGCATAAACACACTAACACTTGTTTTTGAGTAATCAACCTCTTCAGAGACACATTTGATTTGATTTATTTCGAACGTGTAATACAATTAATAGAAATAAATACATGTAAATGAAATTAAACAAGATAATTATGATACTGTAGAAACATAAGCAGTATCAAATTGATGAACTAAATATTATTGACTTACAAATGATATATAAACAAATGATCTACCCAATTACACATCCGAAAAGTCGTGGGAAGAAGTTTACCACCCCTTCTCCCAAAAACTAAATTAACATTTTTGTTTTCTTTTAACAAAATATACATCTAAATGTATGTCTACATACAATATACATTTACAATTATAAATAGATTATATAATTCTTACTACTCTATATATATATATATATATGTTATATATATACTCAATACTAATATTCCAAGTTCCAGGGGCGTGGGTTTGGATGGAAAATAAGGACATACGGCATTCATGAGTTAGAGTTTTCACCATCAAATCCATTCAGTAGTGTTCCCCCATGGCTTTTCCCAATGGTAAATATATATATGAGTATTGTAGAAAAGAAAAGAGAGTGGCAAATATATGAAGTAGGATTCAAAACAAGTATGTACCTCAGGAATAATTATCACAACTACCTCAAAATATACACAGATGGTTCTAAGAACAAGGAAAAGTGTGTCGGAATTGGTATCCCAGAATTTAAAATATATATTGATCGAAGAGCGTCAGATCAATTATCAGTATACACAGCAGAAATGCTGGCAGTAATAATAGGATTACAGTGGGTGGAAGAGGTCAGACCAGATATGGTGGTTATATGCTAGGGATCGACCGATATGGCTTTTTCAAGGCCGATACCAATTATTAGTAATCAAGGAGACCGATAACCGATATACATTTGCAGTAAAATCAGAAAATCTTGGTGTCAAAATGTAGAATAACACAAACTCCAACACAACTTCTTTGAAATGCATTTAAGCATATATTATGTTTAGTTCACTTTTAAACATCTTACAACTGGTTTCCTCTCTGTGCCCTTTTCTTTAGTGCAGTCATCTGCAATGAGTTAGAGAGAGACAAGAAGTGGGGCTGCAGGCTGACATGCTTAACTAACAATAATGCTTAATTTATTATATCTGTCTATCTAGCATAAAATCCCAATAAGCTGCAAAACACTAGTGCTAGCTAATGTTTTGCAAACTATTAAAAGTGAGGCTATTACAGTAGACCTAACGTTAGTCTAGTAGCCTCACTTCTAATATTTTGCTAAACATTTGCTAGATACATGTTGGCTAGCTAATGAGCTTCACATATCAACCTGAAAAACTGCGAGGCTCCACTCGCAGCCCCTCCGCACCACAGTTACTCCGATGCGAGACGCTGCACGCACCCCCAACTCTGACTGACTTCCCGCGTCCCTGTGTAACTGGGAAACTGATAGAATTGGATCATAAGATCGTGGTGTTTTTGCAACTTCAGCATAGGGGATAGGGATGTTTATTGAACTTCGGTTTAACACATGTATGGCTCTGCCGCTCAGCGCTGCTGCTTGCTTCAGTCTGTGTCTGCGTTCTTTCGCACCTGCCTGTAATCTGAGAAGGTCCCGCCTCTCTGGCTGGCTCCCGCCCGGAAAATCTTCAGTAATAGCCTATCAGATAGCACTGTGGGCGGGACATTGCTCGTGTACACAGAGTGGTGACTGCAGCCAGAGAAACGGCCGAATCAGAGCCAAAGTTGTATCGGCAATTTGATTAAAAAAAAGGCCGATACCGATAATCGGTCAAATGCGGAATATTGGTCGACCCCTATTATATGCACAGATTCATTATCCATATTAAGAAGCATACAGTCAACATCAACTGCCAGAGAAGACATACTCATAGAAATTAATCATAGCCTGTTAAGACTTCACAGAGGCGGTATAGATCTTCAGTTCTGCTGGGTGCCTGCATGAGGGGGTGAAAGGGAATGAGTGTGCATGAGGGGGTGAAAGGGAACGAGTGTGCATGAGGGGGTGAAAGGGAACGAGTGCGCATGAGGGGGTGAAAGGGAACGAGTGTGCTGATACATTAGCAAAAAGTGCATTACAAAAGGAAATAACATTACCAGTTCAACTAAGCAGAAGGAAAAGCAGTAATTAATAAGGGAGGTGTGTGGTGCAGTGGGTTGAGCGTTGGTGTTCGGATCAGGGGGTCACAGGTTCAAACCCCACTGCAGTCAGCATGTCGTTGTGTCCCTGGGCAAGACACTTCACCCCAAATTGCTCCTGTGGGGATTGCCCACAGTATTGAGTATGTAAGTCGCTTTGGATAAAAGCGTCTAACAAGTAACATGTAAAAGAAGAAAGGGATGGATATCTGGCAGAAAAGGTGGGATAAAGACAATCACAATCAATATTTATAAAGAAAGAAACAGAAGGGAGGAAATCATGATAGCTACTCAGACTAAATCACACAGCATTGAATGGTACTATGTATGTCATGGGGGAAAGTAACAGTGGGAACTGTGGAGGTAAGGGAAATGTGGAACATATTTTATTAAATTGTGTCACCTATAAAGTTGAAAGAGAAAAACTAAAGGATAAAGTGATAGAGGCAGAGTGTGGTTGGTATTCTGGGAACAGAAGGAGAAGGAGTGAGAGCTACCAGAAAGGCACTGTTTACTTTTCTGAGAGAAACTGGGATAGGTAAAATAATCTAAAAGTAGGTTAGAATAAATTATGGATGATTGTTTTGTTTTATTTATTTTATGGTTTCTTATTTTAGTTTTCGTTATTTTGTTTATTAGAGCTGGAATGACATGGTGATACACACTCATGTACAGTAGGTGGCGGTATGCAACTAAAAGCTGTTTGCGATCCGCCATTAAAAAAGAGAAGAAGGGTCCAGAAACTGCAGTCTGCAAGGCCGCAGCTTCATACTATTGAGGGAACTTGGGATTTTAGCCTTTGCAGACCATTGATGCACAAAAAACACATTACACTAAGGGAAAACCCCAAAAAGCACAATAGGACTCCTTTAAAGAGGTTTTTTTCAGATTAATTCAAAGAACAAAACCACAGTCATATTTAAAAAAAAATTATATTTAATTTCTTTATTTGGGGAAATACTGTTAACTACAAACATATGGTATTATCCATGTTAAATGTGTTAATGTGGAGTGACATAGTTTAACATTTTTATTTGGTATATTTAATTAACTTTTTTGGCAATTCATAATTTGACAGGATACAATGCATAGGAAATATACATCACACAGATTTGGACTAGTACAATTAATGAATCATCATTACATCCAACACAAGAGAGCATATACAATGAGGAAGTCCTTTGAGACTGAGGTCAATCATGTGAGGATGTGAGGGGTGAGGGTGGGACCCTGGTGTTGGGAAGTAGCCGGTCCTTGGATTTCGGCGGCCTGATTCACAACACCAGCTGTCCCGCCCCACCAGAACCAGCAGATGGCGCCCCGATGGTGGGAGAAGTTCTCCTTTCGGAAAGCAGAAAAGTGTTTCCATCTCACTGCATCCTCCCCGGGGGAAGAGTATCCCTTTCCTCCTTATCATCGCTACATCTGGGATAACTGTGAGAAGAGAAAATGCAAATTAGAGTCGGAGGAAACCATCGGAGGTTAGGAGAGAGGGAAGCTTTCTCTAGGCTCCTCTCTACAACTGACAGGCATTAGACCACCCCCTGCTTCTGCACTCCAACAACATCCTCTATGCAAATGTTATAATCACACCAGAGCAATGAAGGATGTGCGTGTACGTACAGTGAATAGGGATATAAGCTTTTACTTAGCATATGAAATGAGTTGGGATTAAAAGAGATAAAGGGCGAAGTGAGGAGCAGAGGGAGTGTTATGAGAGAGGTCACTCATCATTTTGCGTCTTTTGAGCAATTTAAAATCTTCCTGACTGCTCTCACAGGGCTTGGAAAAGGCTCAACAGAGCCATAAAAGAATGGTGGCAGTTCCACCAATAATCGTGCACTTCAAATGTAAAGTCAGTTGAATGACATATGTTAAAATTACGAGCCTTTCTTTACAGACGAGGAAGAATGACCTATTAACCCTGTGAGCCAAACCAGTGAAGTTTATACTACAAATCATTAAGTCGTTTGATTACAGCCACTTCACTGATGCTCATTTATAAAGCACTGGGACAGACTAATAACTGGAATTATGTTAAAGGTTGCAATTAATCACTTTATGTTATTACTTTGATTCTCTTCTCAATAAATCATTAAATATGTAGTCTCCATAATGTCAGCCCATGGAGAATATATCACAAAAGACAAAGACTAACATGACATTTTGAATTTCAGAAGCTAGAAATACATGATGCGTTTCATTTGCGTTTGAAAAATTACTTCAAAGCATTAATTAATTATCAAAAAGGTGAAATAATAAATGTTATTTCAATCAGCGGTTCTAGGGGGGGGGGGCACAATAGGCCTGGCCCCCTACATAAGAACATTTAATGGTTATACAATTAGGGATAGAGTCGCAGCAAAGACTGTGCTGATAAAAGGATTTTTTTCCAATAATTTAATTTAAAAAATCATTATATTATAAAGTAATTGGCACAAATTCTGTTACTAAAACAGACACCAATCATTGTATGTTCTTGTTGTGGGCTATGACTTAATACTGAATTAAAAAAGCTCAAATCTTGAACTCTGTCTTTGTCTCTTTTGCATTAAATGTGACCCTATCATAAATCAACCGGCCCCAGTATGCCCCCCCCCCCTCAGTAAAATCGGTCGGGTGGCCACCCTGAATAAGACGTGTTATTTTAAAAAGTCAGTCTGACTAGCATTGCCATGTTTTTGTGGTTACTTAGTGAACAGAAAAGCAGAATAATTGAGAGGAAGCGCTGCCTATCACTTACAGTTAGATGTTGACAGAGACACATGGGGGGGTTAAGTGAGAATACAGAAATGCTCTCAGTAGGTGAGATAAATGTCAATTTCCTCCAGGTGTGCGTCCGACAGATAAATATGTGTGTGAGAAACTGTGCTTTCCTTTGTCTGCTCTGCGTCTGTTTGGCATGCAGAGCGCTGTAGGTGCACAACGTTTTTTCTTCCTCTCCCCATGTGTGACTGTCCACCGAAAAAAACCTCCCTGGAGAAAAAGGTGTGTTTGCTTTTTATATGAATACTTTCAGGCGTTACATTAGAGTGGCCCCCGTCTGCAGATGATTCCAGAAAATGTGCATCAACGTAAAAAAAGAATCCCCTAATGTGCAAGCTTTTGCATATATATTGTTTTATATATATTATATTGCAGGGAAATATGTTTTACTTTTGTCGAAAAAGAGGGTACATTTCATACGAATGGATTCAAAATATGTACATTATTTAAATAACAGGATAGGTGTTTTAAAATGTAAACACTTCATCTCGAATCGGATCTATTTAACTGGAAGAATACATACTAAGGAGGGATAGAGAAAAAATGGAAGTGTAGGAGATTATTACTAAGAAGTTCAAGCAAAAATAAATCAATGTTCAGACTCCATTGTTCGTTTACGTAGAGTAAGCAGCCCTTAATTTATTCTGCTTTTCCGCTGCTTCGAGCCCTAATACCAGACATTAGACTGCAGGGGTGGAACTATAAGTGTCTGTGCATTCACTTCCACTTCTTTGTCTTTCAGTGGACCGGTGTGAAGCTGACGGGAATGCGAGCAGCAGCTGAATTCCTTTAAATAGCCCTGGCTGCCTCATCATATGGTTGCTATGGCAGCCAGACCCTCGTTTCAAGATAACGTCCACGAGCGCCTCGAGAAAAAAAAAAAACCCTCCTCCACCTGAACACTATGGATCCACGCGAGCCGCTCGGCAGAAGAGGAGACTTGTCGAAGCGAGACGGCGACTTAATGGCGCGTATAAATAATGTTATGTGTGTCTACATGCGCACAGTGTGAGAAAACAATCAATATTGGAGACATATGCATTTGTGTGTGGGATCAATCTGCTGTCATTGCAGCTTCCCTTAGTGGGGGAATGAAAAAAAGGAGAAACATTTTTGTTTGAATGTGGTCATTTTAGATTTAAAGAGGTAAATGTAAAAAGGAAGTGCCGTATTAAAAGTCAAACGTATCAAACTTTCACTAAACTGACTGTGACCATTAAAGGAAAACATATTGGACTTAAGAAAATCTATACTGCATTAACATTGTGTCAAAATGCACAAATTGTAGCGTTAGGATTATCTCATATGATTTTATAAGATGCGAGGAAGATGAACATTTAAAGCAGGTAGAGCTACGGTGGAAAAATCTGAAACGAGATCAAAAGTGAAACAGATGAGTGAACGGCTGTTACAATAAATGATGTGACACGGGAGAAATGAAGGATGAAAAGAGGATGAATGATCCGAGACATTTCTGAGGGAATGAAGGAATTGAAAGAAAGCTAAAGACAGGAGGGTATAATAGGAAATGCCATCTTTTCAAAAGCCATCTCCCTGACTTTTCACCAGCTCTTTCCCATCCCCTCCCCTCAGCCCTGCCATTCCCAGCCCCCCATCCTTTGTCCTGCTCCTCTCTTCAGTCTTCTTTTTACCCGAGCTCTCTATTAGTCGTATGTTTTGCTGAGGGACAGTCAGGACTTCAAACAGCGAAGGATTGTAGTAAAGCTGGTGCGAGATCTACATGGATCCCTCTAAGTGCACTCAGGAAACTATTGTGAGGCTCAAAGGTGTGAAATCAATTACAGGGGGAGGAGAGGGAGACGCAGACTTTTAGAAGGTTTAACAAAGCCACGTTTAAAAAGCTTTATAGTACTACCTGGAACGCAATTGAAGATCAATTTAAAGGCTCGAATATAGAACAAGAACGTGTGAAATGGGATTATTTCTGACTGAAAAAAAGTCATTCAATGTCAAAAAAGGAGGTACTGTATACGTAGAAAAGCCTAAAAGTGTGATCATTTAAAAACTCTAGCACTGCCATTCCTTAATATTGTGTACAATGTGCAAGTTGTGGCATTAGCAGAATGTTATATTGTTTTAATGTATGTCAAATTATGCCATTTACTCATTTCTAATGATGCCATTCAGTACATTTGAAATTTCTTAATACAAAAATGTCTTAATACAAAAATGGCACTTAAACATTTTGAAGACATTGCACACACTAGGAGAACATGCAATATATTGGAAAGCATTAAAGGGGCAAGATTTCAAGTGAATAGTATTTCAACCAGATATATTTATAACTTACCTTCTGAATCTGAATCTATCTAAATCTTTATGGGATGAGTTTATTCTTCACAAGCATCGTCTTTGTCTTTTTTTCCCCCCGAAACCTAAAAAGGGAAACAAATCAAATCAGTACAAGGTAGTCATGTGAAAAATCCATACACAGCTATTAATGTTTTTTTAATTATTTACTGAGACATTATGTCTGAGAAAGAGGAGAAGTCAGAAAGAAGACGGCACCCTCTATTTCCCCTTAAAACACAGGTAGGCTGATTACATTCGAGAGAGTTGGGCGCGCCTCAGCATCTCCTAATGCGTCTGTAAATCGAGTTGGAAAAATGACGACGTCTGTTGTCTGCACTTGGGATGGAAGCCAGGGAGGCAAAAAGCATTGCCGTGGAGCACTCCCTCCCATACTCTGTGTTTTATACCCGCACTATTAACCAGCAGACGTGCACTTGTGTCAATCATTACTCTCTTTTTATTCCATTTGCGGCGAGGAAAGACAGAAACGTACAATACTTTAGTTTCCTCTTTTCACTTTTGTGCCGCATCGCCTTTTAATCAGCTGATGAATGCCTGTGTTAATAGATACGAGCAGACTTGTACATTATTATGTTCATTACCATTATCTGGAGCAACACCGTGGAGGCTGAGAGGTGTTAGTGAGTGCATTAATAGAAATGACTCTGTGTTTTGTTTCCATTATTAAAGGAGCAGGGGTGGTCGGCTTTGAGAGCAGCAACGATAAGGACGCTGGCTGAGCATTTGCCAAGCATCCATTTGCTCTTCACTCGGGTCTAAAAGGCCCTCTGCCAAAAACAGGTGTACACACACACACACACACACACACACACACACACACACACACACACACACACACACACACACCACACACACACACACACACACACACACACACACACACACACACACACACACACACACACACACACACACACACACACACACACACACACACACACACACACACACACACACACACACACACACACACACACACACACACACACACACACACACACACACACACACACACACACACACACACACACACTGCTGTCCTCATTTTCCCTTTACTCAAAAGGTGGACATCAATATCTATCCAATTAAAACAAGACTACTTCTCTACTCCTGCCTTCTTAACTTCATCTCTTTTAGGGTCTTATTTCTAAGTTGACGTTAGCATATCGGTTTATAACAGAAGCTCTTTTTAAATGGGACCCAATAACAATAAATGGGCCCCTGGTCGCTCTGCTTACTGTGAGCTTTCTGCGATGATTACCCAGAACAAATGTAGGGATATAAAACAACACATAAATCAAATCAAAATACATTTATTAGGATCGTATTCTGTACTTTGTTGAATTGTCTAGACTTTTTAATGTATTTTTTTCTAGTTTTTATGGGGGAAATGCCTGCCTATAGCTGTGCATTTGGCCCTAGTCCACTGTGTTTATAGACATTGAACAAATGGCTAAAATCTACCCTAAAGGATTATTTGAAAGTGAGAAAGAGAAAAAAGTGAAGCATTATCCTACCTAATCAATAGCAAGAGGTACATACACATATGTGCCCTTTACACTGTCTCTCACACAAACACACACCTATATGTACACATCCTTAGACGCGGCCATTAGGATCCGCTGTGTAAACGTCTTTCTTCCCTGCCGTATCTCCACCATTCGGCGAAACGGTATGACCACGCTACTGCAAATGCATTCGAAACAGCGGCTGAGATTTTAATGTGTAAGCCTGACACACACACACACACACACACACACACACACACACACACACACACACACACACACACACACACTCCCGCTCTCTCTCTCTTACATGTGCATTCGAGCCGCACACCCACACAGCTGAGATAAGGCCTGAGCGCTGGTAGTCATTTAGTTCAGCTTTGTCTTTTTCAAAGCGTCTCCCCGATGAACTGCGTAAAATGCTAACACTTGCAGTATTTGAATTATTAGCAAAACGGCACTGTTTTTACTTAATCCAGCGATGCCTATAATCTGTGTGACTGTGTAGTCTAATGTGAATGGGAGAAAAAAGGGTATGTAAATGGCAGAATGCTGCTTATCTCTGAGAAAATGTTTGTGTTTCTGCTTGTGTGTGTGTGTATAAAAAGGTACGATGCTAAACTATTTTATTGTACGAGTGACCTTAAAAAGACTCATTGATCTCTTTGTCTCAACGCATTTTAAATCAAACAAACTAAATGGCCATCACTCGATATCTACTCTAAGATTACAATGAAACTTTGGCTTTTGTGCAACGATATAAAATGTCTCTTGACTTGTCCTATATCGATCGTGATAAATCAGGAATAGGAGCAGTGTTTTATCCGCCCCTTCTCTCCCCCTCGCTTTCCCTAATGTAAGTATATTATTTGATTGTCTGGCCTTTGGTTTAAGTGTAGATCTATACACTTACAAGTTCCTGCCTGATGCTGGCAGACGATTCTGGCACAGAGGCGTGCCAAAGGCGCACTAACCCTGATGACTCCTGCAGGTTGCCAGGTCTGTGCAGGGCAGGGCCGGATTCGCAGGCTGGGCAGAGGGATGGATGTGAAGATATCTGGATGGCTGGTCGGGCAGAGAGCTGTAAAGAAAACACAACGTCAGCTGTTTGGTGAAACACATTCAGCACCTTCATGCTGGTGTGTGAAAACGCTCTGAAGATGGTGGACGTGAAGCTGAGAGGGGCGACTCCCTGACGGCGCCATCTCTTCAGAGGTTTTTCAAAGCAGTATTTCCAAGAAACACAATCTTAAACAGTTCGACATAATGGCTCCTACAGAAGAGGTATATTGAGGTTGGTAATTATGGATTAGCAGAGATCTCCTGTGAGCGGAAAGACTTCCCTCGACACAAAGCAGTCGGTGAAAAGCAAAAAGCAGGATTATTCTCACACAGGCGAAACACACACATCCAGACGAACAGGTGTACACACAGACACGTAGACACAGCGCTGCTATACATGCACACACCTTAGACCTACACACTCCTGTCGGCCATCACAGACAGAGTGCCGGCACGGCAGCCATTTTGCAGGGCTGCTCTGGAATGTTCAATTAGGGTAATTGTTGCTTACGCCGACATTTCCCGGTGTTACAAACATCATATATGCAGAAAACCAAAGTGCCATGTCACCTCACCTCGTAGTATTGGAGTTATAGAAAAAGAAGAATACTGATTCTGTGTCCGATTTCTTTTGTCAGCGCGGAGGCCCCCACAGTGTAAACCAGGACATGTATGACGGGGGCAGCCATGTGTGAACTGCACATGGTTCTGAATGTATGTACGCCGCACGGCTCGGTGTAACGTATGTAGCGAGGGAATGGGGGGGGGCACGCCCTACAGCTTGTCAGTGCTCACATTAGGAGGAGGGGATGAGTGTGCACAGAGAAAAGAGAGAGGAAATGGGAAGACTGAGGAAGGAGTAAAATGGAAGAGGAGAGAGAGGAGGGCATTGAAAGAGAAAATGTACAGCTTGTTCTCGTCGCCTCCATTTCTACACGCAGACTGTGCATTTTGGTCACCGTATAGATTACCCCGCTGTCATGATACATACAACACTTAGTGAGCAGATGATGACAGCCCTCACCTGTCACGCACACCTTCACAATATTAAACATTTGTTTAAGACCAAGGGGTGCCGACTCCGTCAAATATTGAATTTTCCAGATTATTGCACATTGATTGATTGGCCCTATGTCGTAGTAGTTGAACGCATGACCTGTGCATGTGCAGTTGGAGCCCCTTACCTACCTGACTATTGTCTCACTTACACGGTACTCGCCAATAATTTCACAGAAGAAATCTGAAAAAATATGGAATCAGCACTTCTTTGACCAAATGAAATGGATCTTGTAGAATGTTCTCTCTTGCTTGAATACAGAATGAGACAGTTTAAGAGTTTACTTATCTGATAAAAGATTTGTTAATCCTCAACTCGTCTTAAAATCTAGAAACTAGACTAGACTGCACCACCGCGACAAAGATCTGCAACCACACCGGCAGGATTTAACAAAGGCCACATAAGGATACGAGGCACATTTATTGCAGTAGTTGACACAAAGAGCGGATTGATGATTCGGTGTCATATGAACAGGGCTGGACCGGGTGAGACGGGCTCTGCTGCTGCAGGACGGCGGAGGGTCGGGGGGAGATGACGGCCGGCTGTCAAAAGGGGACAGGTTGGATAAGGGCGTCAGGGAGGGGGGGGGGAGAGAGGACGGAGAACACGGCAGCGCAATGCGCACGTGTGTGGAGAACGCTCAGACATGATGATCAGACATACTGTACATGGAGATGCCCCTGCGTTTACGTGACCGTTCAACCCTCCCCCAACTTCCCCACACACACATACACACACACACACACACACACACACACTCAGCATGACACAAGACTGCACATATGATCCGCCGCCCTTTGTCTGGGTTTATCGGTCAGTAATGGCTGGCACATTGCGCTCTCTCACACACACACCATCAGTCATGTGGATGGCAGATGACCCCTCCTCCTGTGTTTGAACCCCATTCTTCATGGTATGTCCAGCACACATTACAGTAGTGTCATTACCGACAACTCCCCAACCCCCCCCCTATCAACCTCCCATCCTTCCTCATCTGAGCCTCCGTGTCCTCAGAGCACACCCCCCCCCCCCCAACGCCACCCCCCCCCCCGGTGATCATCTGCTGTGACCGTGTCCTCCTATCACCGTGAGTCAGGAGTGTTCGACAGCGATGGGTGGGTGGGAAATTGGAAGTGTGGGGGGAGGGTGGGGCACCCTATTTTACTTCTTTTTTTTTTTTAGATCAGACATGATTGCTGACAGAAAAAACTTTCCCACCCGTCGGCGGCTGTGTGACAGCGCCAGACATAGGGGACCCTTTGTCTCCCACCACCCTTACGGGGAGGGACGGCGTATGTTACACGCACGTACACTGTACATTCTGGCATGGCTTACAAAACACACACACACACACACACACACACACCGACACACACTCGCTGACAGTAACTACGCACAAGAAACACACACTGTTAGTATGTTGCAGAAGTGACAATACCCTCATCCTGGAGCATGTCGGCGCCTGCACACCTGTGTATGTAAATCCCTTCAATTCAACACCTACCTTTGTGGAAACAATGTAAATTCATTGTTCACATATGTGTTAAAGTGTGTGAGTGTGTGTGAGAGTGTGTGCGTGTCCTCAGACTCACCTGGCAGCACTCCTGGAGCTGGTTGTCTTGGTAATGCAGCCTCAACTGGGGTTGCAGAGCAGTGACACCTGATGTCCCTCCTCCCTCACGCTCTCACCCTCTCTGCTGTAGTATAGGATCAGTAGCTACACCCTAGCACTGACAGAGGAGGGGGAGACGGAGAGGAGGGGGTTCTTATCCAGCCGGGCGGATCGTACCACCGGCCGGGCGCAGACGAGGGGACGCCCGGGGGCAGAGCTGGTTGGGTCGACCCTGATAACGCTCAGCAGAGCTGTCTCCGAACCCCCCTGCTGTCTGCGCCGAGATGGTCTCTCCCTGCTGCCGCTGCTCCGATTGGACGGCGAGCTTCCTCCTTCATCAAAATGTAAAATTCCAAGACAGAGAGTAGTGCAGCGTTTGTGTGTGTGTGTGTGTGTGTGTGTGTGTGTGTGTGTGTGTGTGTGAGAAAAAGAGAAAGTGTGTGTGTGTCTAAGAGACAATGCAAGAGAAAAAAACGTGTATACGTTCAGTGTGTATTTGAGAAATATTCTTCATGCAGACTAGTATGACTGCATGTATGAATGTGACTGTGTGTGTGCAAATGTCTGTGTGTGTGTGTGTGTGTGTGTGTGTGTGTGTGTGTGTGTGTGTGTGTTTGTTCATGTAAATGTGTGTGTTTGCGCCTTTGTGTCAGGCAGACGATATACAGGATGCCATTGTCTGTGTGGGCGTGTGATAGAGGAAGAGGTAGCCGAGGGAGAGACACAAGACAAAGAGAGCGAGAGATGGGAAGACATGGTGAATATGTGTATGTATGTGTGTGTGTGTGTGTCCGTGTGTGTGATAGAGAAAAAGAGAGTGTGTGCGGCCTGAGAGCTGTCATCATTAGCCTCTCTGCAGCGGCTGGTGTTGGGCTGTGAAGGGGCTTGTCAGTCAGTTTCTGTCACAACATGTCACACCGGACACACACTCACACACACATACACATACACACAAACACACTTTCCCAGAGGAGATCATGTCAAGATAGGGGCCAGTTGCTTTGACAAGCTGATCCAACCCCTCCAATAACCTTTCACCCCGCTCCTCGGCGACGGTGTCACACTCAGGATCAATCCCCGATTCTTCTGCCTCTCTGTGTGCTTCACATGTTTGACAAAAAGGTAGAATAAATCGAGAAGTAACAACACGCAGAATAAAAGGGCGAAAGATTGTCAAGAGGCAGATGGCTTTGAGGGCTCACCAGAGCCTCGTCGAGTCTACTGTGAAATAATGCTGACTCACTGCTCTGTGGCAGGCCCTAAAACACACACATCCTCTACAGCCAGTTTTCACTCAAGAAGATCACAAAAAAGTTGATTACTGATAATATCAACATAAAAGGTGTGGGAATAAGACGCAACAACAAACGGCATTTTGTTCCCGTCCAATCGATGGCTGCAGAGGAGACTTTTATCCTCACACATCAAAGAGACCATTCTTTTTTTCCTGTCTTTTCCTCTGGCTCTTCTCCTGCTGCCGATTTAATTACCTTCTATATTTATCGGAGCTCAAGATGCTATTTTGGTTTCGAGACTCTTGTCACTGATATCGGGAGGCTACATTATTCAGAGTGAGAGCACCAGGGGCCGTCAGACACAGAAACAAGAGCGCTGCTGTTAACCCCACGGGGAAGGACGGAGGATATGTCACACTCACAGTAACAATAATCGTGTATGAGAGTATTGTCTTACGTCCTTATTTAATACAGCTGCGTAGACACACTGGTCTAAGGTGTGGTCTGTCTTTCTCGTGTCTCCATTTTCTGCTCCAATCTCAGATCGGTGGCAGAGAGTATTTCACTCACAGATGCCCACATATTCAGATATATGTTACAAAAAGTGTGCACAGCATGCCCGCGTGCACACAAAGCCGGTATAGATCGTGTCCTCCATATTTGGTTGTGATTTATGATGGCTCTTCAGTAGAGGCCACAGTCATCTGGGAGATGATGACCATATCGATCTGATAAACAGTTTCATTTACTGCCAAAAGCTCACCATTCATACTCACACTCGCACAAACACACACACGCAGCTAAGGCACATAGATTCACAGCAGGAATAACCCAGCTTTCTGCTTCATCAATTCCCACCTCCTCCACGTCTGCTTTTCTGTTTCTCTGCTTTTTCTCTTCTCCTCCCCCCCAGGCCACCTCACCCTCTCCGCCGCTCTCGACGCTTTAACCCGTTCCTCTCGATCCCTCGTTCTTTCTACCGTTCCTCTAACAATATTCTCCCCTACGCACCGTGGCCTTCTTTTGTTTCTCCATTTAGCTCCACATGGCTTTACACTAAGGGTATATCTCAGTTTGCCAACGTTTCCCAGCATGCTTTTGTAAGCGACATGCAGGAGATGAGTTTAACATGTATATAACATTCCCTCTTGTTTAGTAGTCGATAATAGTTTCAGATTTGTCAAGTCTGTTCATTTTACCTTGAAATATTTGCTGTAATCCGTCCATACCGGCCTTGACGCGATGATGAGATGGGGAACATCTCAGGTTCTGTGGAGACACAAAAAGAAAGAAAATAAAATAATGTTCAAAATCACGTTCCAGAAAACCACTTGACTGCTAAACCTCATATTAGTCTAATCCTAACTTGGGAATGCATTTTTCGGCAGAACAGGGACAGCGGTCCACCATTTTTGACAGTAAGAAATCAGTTCGACCAATATAAGGATACACTATATTATGAAGTATTTGACTATTTTAAGGGTTAGGTTCCAGTGGTGCCGATTGGGACTGTGTCAGACTGGTGTGATCCAAACATTTATAATAACTCCAGAGCAAATGAAGTCTAAAAATCACAATTTGTGAGCATTTTTTAGGCAACTAAATAATCTACTACAATGCATATTTGTTGGCAATTAGTCGTTCAAATACAACATTTCCACTGCCATCGAAAAATAGTTTGCTCTCTTACTTACTGCCCATAAAAGAAAGCTGTATTAACTGCTGTCTATCAGTAAGATAACAGCACAATAAACTCCATATAGTAAAAATATCAAAAATGTCTTTCTGTATTTGCTTGGCCCAAGTCTTCACTTTCATATAAACTGTAGAAAGATTTTGATGAATTCACAAGTTTGAAAGCATTCAATAATTGACTATATTCAAATGAAGGATGTTGTTCAAGGATTTCTGTATTTTTTAGGCTGACACAAAATATGACAACGTATAATGGAAGCATCTATAAAAAACCTAAATAGTCAGCCATGGCAGTTACCCAATGGCCAGTGTATCAAAAGTCAAGGTCATGATTATGCAGCATAATGCCAGGATTTGTGTTGCAACATAACGCTCCTCTACAGTACGCACACATCAGAAATGTTGATATGTTAACCCCCAGGCAGTTTAGAGTCATAAAAGAGCTGTTTCATGAGGGAAATATCACACAATGTCAGTCAGTGATGTCTGCGGCAGCAATGAAACAGTCAGACTAAAACAGCGTTTACTTTATGAGTCCATAAGATTCTGTACTTTAATCTTTTAATATAATTAATCTGGCATTAGAAGGACTAATGGTTTTTCCAGAGTTTCAGGATGTTTAATTGGTGTGATGGGTCAAACTGCCTTAATTAGCCCTGCTCTCAACTCAGAATTTAGTGCGAGAGTTTAAGGCGACGGTCTTAATGTTAATTTGAAATACTTTCCAGTCTAATTCCAGAAACTTTCTAAAACTGAGCTTTTTTTTACAGTCAAAAATTCCAAATGTGAAGACATATTGAATGTCAAAGTCAAAAAACCTCCTTCTCATGTGTCTTTCTCTGTGTGTGTTAGTGTGTTTTGCATTTTTTTGCGAGTAAACAGATAATGTCAGAGGAGTGAAAAAACACACACAACATATTCACACACACACATACTCACACATACACTAGAAGGCTTTCAGATTCTAAATCAATCCCACATCCGTAGCTAATGCAGTGCTGGGCCCTCTTCAGGAAGCATTAGGCCTATTAGTCAAAGTGCGTACGCATTCTTGTATTTGTGTGTGTGTGTGTGTGTGTGTGTGTGTGTGTGTGTGTGTGTGTGTGTGTGTGTGTGTGTGTGTGTGTGTGTGTGTGTGTATGTGTGTTTGCGTAGAAGCCGTACACTCAGCAGTAGCCGATCTCAGTGGATCCTGTGGGGTCAGCAGGTGCAACTGGGAATGAGGGACCATCTTAGTGTGTGTGTGTGTGTGTGTGTGTGTGTGTGTGTGTGTGTGTGTGTGTGTGTGTGTAGGTCTGTGCATGTGTGTAGGTCTGTGCATGTGTGTGTATGTGTGTGTGTGTGTTCCCTTCCCTCGATATCCTCTGGGCTCTTTATCGCTCTAAAATTATCCTCCATTTACTGGAAGACACTGGGCAGAGTGAGAGGGAGAGAGAAATATGGACACTCTAGTTTGAATGCCTTCCTGGATCACTTATGGATGTGGAACCAAGAGACAAACAGACTTCTTGCTTTGTCAAATAATCCAATTAAATAAGTGCGGATAAGTTAAGAAGTCTGAGAGATAGTGAGACTGATGGGGCCTGGAAAACCAGAGGAGACTTTTAGGCTTTACACAAAATATCTAGGATAGATCGTTTGATGTGAGCACTAAAGCTGGAATTTGAGTGGTGTGTTAAGAAGTGGGATTATTGATATTGAATACAACATAAAGTCAGTCATAACACACTGACATGCCATACATTGTTTGCTATAGTTGACCTTTCTGTCCATACCGACCTTAATGTTCCCCTCACTGCAACTCATGCAAACAATAACTATGCGTACCTATGTAACCTGATAAATACATTATTCTTCCAATCATTTATATAGAAAAAATGAAATAATTATCCACTAATATTCCTCTTAACTGACAGCAGTGCATACTCTGACTAACATAAAACACACCAATGATATCTTACAGTTACTTCCTTTAAAAATGTCCAATCTCTTTTCTTCTTAAACTGAAGTGGTGGTTATTTTACTTTATTATCAGCTCTCCAAATTCTGCTAAATAGTGTCCTAAAAGCTGAGAGGACTCAGTCAGGCTTAACTCGAGAGGTTGTGGTTTGCAACCTGTGTGAAAAACCTCAATTGAAACGCATATAAATACTCCTACAACCTCAAGACTAGCATATCAG